CTTGAACCCGAGTTTTGCTGACCTTGAGCTCCCTTTTTTATCAACGTGAAATCCGTCGTCGGCGCTGAGAAAGCCTATTGCTTTTCATTTTAATTTGAATATTAGAAGATACCCACCACTGGAACTTGGACTGATATTATACCAAGGCCGAAGATGATCAAGCTGCCTGCTATATCTGGAGCTTGGTGTTCAACTTCAACATGGAATGAAAAACAAAATATCAAAGCAAACTGGATATGGTACTGCAAGTTTAAAGGAAATAGTTCACTTTTTAACATGGGTTTTGAACTGGAATAGCAGTTCCGTAGCTTGGGCTGAGACGAGCATAAATCAGGAGCTTTTACAGCCCAACGATCACCCTAGGCAAAGATATTCTATTTCTCGTCCCGAAAAAGGTGTCTTGCGTTGAGGATGTGTGCCTTGCATATATTTCCATCCAGTATGAAAAGAGCATGGGTCCCGAAAATTCTTCAGAAACTAGAGAAATTATCTACGAGAACTCTAGAGAAATTCTCGTACTGATCAATTAGGACATTCAGGGGAACATTATCAGATCGAGCAGATCGCCCAAATGCCGGTGGCTGCGATAATTTCTCTGTTTCTGAAGAATTTTCGGGACCCATGCTCTTTTCATACTGGATCGCGTGTGCCTTACAGAAACTGAAAAGTTCTTCCTATATCAAAATATAGAAAAAAAAATCTTTTGTTATAAAAAGGTTTTATTTTCTTTGCTGATTATTTTGAACATAAAAAATAATAAATCGTTGCAAAAAAAAATAATTTCGTGAAAGTGAACTATTTCCTTTAAGTCCAAAGAAATTTGAAGAGCTGACAATTGACATTAATTCTTTTCCCGCAAGGTTTCCATAGGAGATCACACCATGAAGAAATATTTTTGATGTTAACAGTTGAAAGGGGATTGATCTTCCAGTTTTGACGAAAGACGCTGCTGACTGTCTTTGGAAAAGGATGTCGGCATGAGGTGCAATTGTGCTTGTGAAGTGGTTATAACTGGTCTTTTCACAGTGTTAAATTAAATGTGCCATTGCAGCCAAGTGTGTTATCATGTAAGGTAAAATCAAAACTACAATGTTGGTTTTACGAGCATTGAGAAGGCTGGTAGGTAACACCTGCCTGTGCTCGTAAATCATGCTGCCAAAGTATTCTAAATTAATTTTACCATACACTTTTGTTGTCCAGAATGGTTGCACTATTGTTTGGTATCATATTACTCCATGTACATATGGTAGTGTTAAGTCCGACCAACATGTTACCAGATTTGAAGCTGTTACGTTACCTAAGTACCTACCTGTTTTTTTTTACTGGCGTGGTGAATGTCACCTGGATTTTGTTTTGAGGTATTCTCACCTGGTAAGAATACCTCAAAACAAAATCCAGGTGACATTCACCACACCAGTAAAAAAAAAAAACAGGTAGGTACTTAGGTAACGTAACAGCTTCAAATCTGGTAACATGTTGGTCGGACTTAAGGTGCAGACCTAGTAACTCTGACTACATGGGTTTGAAGCTATTATCTATTCTGTTTTTACTGGCCTGGTGAATGGCGACTGATGTTGTCCGTGGATGGCACTGAAACAAATTTTGAGTGTCAACTGCCATGTACAGTGTTTTAATACAATGCTGAGGGCTGAAAGTTGTCTTGTTTAGAGTGGTGAAAGTTCAGGATATGCCAGCCACCATGGTGGGTCAGAGTTAATGTGTTGCAGTCAGTTCGGCTTCGGCAAGCACACGGATGGGCATACGCACCAAGACCTGCTCTGCCATACTTTCAGCCAATTTTACCTAGGCAAGTCTTTTCTTTTTTTTCTGCCAAAAGCTATGACATTGTGAATTTCAGTGCTGTGGCCTGTGTGTAGCTTTCAGGAAAGCAATTCTAAATAAAGCTCTGATAAAGTGCATGAAATCAGCAATGCAGCCCTCTATTACATTTTCTACAACATCTTACTTGTTCCTTGCATGGAGAGAAAAATGCAATGTTATGAATTCGTTTATTCACATAATTTGACAAGCATGCAGTTACCTGCTACTATCACTGCACAAAACAGAGCAGAAAACATCAGTTGATCAAACACAAGACACAACAGAAGTTTACAACATAGGCCTGCCGAACCTGCTTCCTCCCACCACAGTTGATGCCATTTCCTAGCCTGGCTTGATGTGAGCACTGAATAGCTGCTTTGTCTAATTACAGCTCACTACCATTCAACTTAAACTACTCTCTTTAAAGTAAGAGTGAGAGCGTTCAGTGTTCATAGCAGCTCAACAGACGACAGACAACAAACATCTTGACAAACCAACCAGTATTTGATTTGGCTAATGATTTATGTGCCTGTTGTATCATGGCCAAACTACTTTAACAGCAATAATCCCTGTTTCATCTTGATCTTGCTTTTAATTCCATTTGAACTCAGATCTTGAAACAATCATCTGAAGTGATATCAGATACTGGCTTCTGTTTCTCTTGAAAGCAAGTTAAAACAACAATGATAAACTAAGGCAGGAGATGTGAGTTGTGGCAGTAGATTTTTGATTCAACATATGTCAACCTTATATTGCTTGAGACCTCTGTGACAGACAAACAAATATTTATAGTTTTTTGATAGTTTGGATTCTTGGCTTGATTTAGCAGATCAGCTGTGAACCTTGACTTTCCCCGCGTTCGATGTCTCTCGGCCGACGAAGATTCTACGTCGTCCGGCCAATCCCGTCCAAGGTCAGTGGGGGCTCGGCTGCAGTTATGGAACGTGATTGGCCGGACGGCGTAGAATCTTCGCCGTCCGAGAGACATCGAACGCGGGGTTTGAAATCACATAAATGTCATGGTACCCGAACGAATCCTCGCATGACATTTCTTCGTCCGCATTTCTTCGTCTACAAATCTTCGTCGGTGCATTTATTTGTCCATCAATGCTTACTCTTGCATATATTTGCGTTGAAGAAGAAATGCGAGCCGATTTTCATATACCCTGATGCGAGACAAAGTAATGCGATACGAATAAATGCCCTGACGAAGATTTGCAGACGAAGAATTGCGATACGAAAAAATGCCATAAGAAGAATTGTCCTGGAATCCTTTGTTGGCCATCATATATTGACCTTGATAAGATAAACGCATCATTCGCGCAATATTTGTCGCACTTTGATACCAAATTATTGCTTCCAAATGCCGACGTAAAGAAAACCTTTATGTGACGTCATAGAAACAGCGGAGTTCCCAAAAAGTAAACAAAAATAAAAGTCTTATATCTCGAAAACGGTTGAATATTTTCCGGTAAAATTTGGTAGATGTTCATTTTCGCTCTTTGTGATTCACGCTACATCACTTTTATGCCAATTCATTAACTTTTTTGAAGGTGGGAGGGTCCCTTTAAGCCCCGGTCACACTTCACCGGATTGGACCAAAGGACGAGAAACGGACGGCGTCCGGTGATGTCCAGGGGATGTCCGTTCGTTTCCGTTGGACGTCCGTTTCTCATCCGTTAATATCTGTTCCATGTCCGGTGGTGTCCGGTGTGCTCAACCGGACACCACCGGACATGGAACGGATATTAACGGATGACAAACGGACGTCCAACGGAAACAAACGGACATCACCGGACGCTGACAGTTCTCGTCCGTTTCTCGTCCGTTGGTCCAATCCGTTTAAGTGTGACCGAGGCTTTAAATTTTATGCAATAATCGTGAAAGACGTTTGCCTCTGTCAATTACAGATAGTGTCGGCGGCTTCCAGCCGATCGAGGTCTGCGAGAGTTCTTGCAAGCTTTCCGATCGATCGAGTGGTTACAGTCACACAAGCATCTGCCGCAGACCAGTCGGTTACAAGAAAAACTACGAATAAAGAACAGACCAGTTCAGACGGTCGGGGATAAGCCTGCGAGCGATCTCAGACGGCTCGCCGATAGACAAGATATAAGCCAGAGTCAAACTAGAGGTAGTGTCGGCAACTTCCAGCCGATTGAAGTCTGCAAGCGATATTATGCGTCTTCACGAACGGTATGATGCTTGCAGTCGCACATCTGACCAGTTGGACGAATTTCGAACCGTTCACAGTCAGCGTTCCAAAAATTTCTCATTTGGGCTGAAGATGACACTCAAGAATAAGAATGGATAATTTTCCACTCTCACATTTTGGGTGGCTAGAATTTTCCACTCAGACACCCAAGAGAAATCTGAAGTTTGGGACACTGTTCACCAGGAATGTACATAACTTAGTTTTTTTTTTTAAAGAAAATATTAGGGTTGCGCAGTGCGCTTGGGCTTTTGAGTGAATTCTTTTCCATGCGACACCAATAGGCTTAATGATCATTTTCAGAGATGTTGGGGTTGCTGCCACAACCCCCTTTTGGGGTTCCTGCTACAACCCCCTTTTGGGGTTCCTGCTACAACCCACTTTATATGTAAAGTTGCACTTGTGCTGTTCACAATGCCTCCCGATCCACCCGACAACGCCCGATCCCGTCCGACCGCTTCCGAATCTCCGACTAGTCGGCGAGCGATCCATTCAGGGCTCGCTGATTTTTAACATCCGACCGGCCGTAAGGTATCGTCTTATAATCTGCGTCAATATTTTGTGCATACTTGTGCGATTTTATGTGCACCGCCGGAGTATCACCACTGAGAGGGTTGTGGGTCCCTACTCTCTCTTCTCTCTCTGAAGAGTCGGGGGGGGGGGGTCAAGCCCCGTTTTTTTACATTTTTTTAATGCCATCCTGACGTTTTTTGCAGAATAAAGTGGCCGAAATCTGGGGAGAAATCGAAAATGGGGGGGGGGGGCTATGGCTACGAAGGTCAGTCCATGTCGCTGCCCAAGTGGCCCACCAGTCAAAATTCCTTAGCCGAGGCCCTGCTCGACTGTGCAAGAAGTTGAAGTCGACCGAGTGCAGGCCTAAATAATACCATCAACTTGAGCCTTGCAGATACCACACACAAGTTGCTATTAGCCAGTAGTCGTTTAATCTGTTCACAACCAAAGGGGCAAATCATATATTCCAATGTATTCAGATAGCCTTGGGATTTGTTAGAGAGCGCATGACCTCTGCTACAGCATGCATCCATTGATATCCACACCCAAGGCATCGGTCCCTGCATCTGCACAAGTACCTAAGCACTATAGAAAAATAGATACATGCGTCGTGAACACAGTGCGGGCGGGGTGTGCCCACGGCCATTCTGTTTTTGAGACTGAGAAGTGAGACCAGTATGTTTTGCGATGCTCAGAGGTTCGGCTATGGCAGCCGTTGCTCTGTAGTCTAGGCTCTAGAAGAAAATACGCTAGGATTGAGTAAATGGATATTCATCGACGGTTTAGCCGCCGGTAGAAAAGCAGACCAGAGAAAGTCTTAAGACGGCTGGCTCTGCATAGTGCATATAATTAAATAACCAATAAATAAGACAATGTCCGGAGCCACACTAGCTTTCCATTCTCAGCTGGTTCATGTGCCGAGTTTCTGAGCGCAGCCAGCGCCAGCTCCGGATAGGTTCGTCATCACCGTCACTCCTTGAGTCACCACTCCTGACATTCCCTGAGCAGCCCCGACATCAGTCCGCTGTCCCACCAGCGTTCCGTGCACATTGCGCACGTGTTTGGTCATCGTACCCCTCTGTGTGAACTGTTTCCCGCACACGTGACACTGGTGCGGCCTACGACCGGTGTGGGTCAGCTCGTGCTGCGACAGATAAGCGGCCGACGCGAACGTCCTCCCGCACATGTGACACACAAAAGGCCGCTCTCCGGTGTGTGAGCGGGCGTGCACGTGCAGCTTCTGGGCGGAAAGGTAGCGGCGGCCGCAAACCTCACACGCGTGCGGTCTCGCACCCGCGTGGCTGTCCTCGTGGATCCGCAGCTTGGAGGGCGACGGGAACCGTTTTCCGCAGTGTCGACAGGTGTGGATCAGCAGCAGCGGGTGGGCCTGTCGCTGGTGCCGCCGGCGCTGAGCGGCGCTGGTAAATCGCTGCGGGCAGGCAGAGCAGGCGAGTGAACCCTCAGCGTTCGCCGGTTCCACGTCAGCAGCTGAGCGACAGGCCGTGGTGCCCTCTGCAGTGGGACCGGCAGCATCGGGTCGAGCACTGCTGTGATCCGGTACGACGGTGTCCCTGGAGGGCGGCTGGCTGTACTCCGGGGTCGGAGCAGCTGTCCGGCCGCAGCGACACACGGTGCATGGTCCACACGGTGCTGTGGCGCGCTGGAGGCCGTGGGGTGTATCAGCGCCGTGCTGTACCCTCAGGTGTGTCAGCAGCGCAGAGGTCGAGCTGAACTGTTCGTCACAGAGCCTACAGATCAAATCGACTGTGTATGGTCCTCTCTCTACCTGTAAGCAAGAATAAAACGTGACAGTTTGCATTATTCGTGAGAAATGGTAACTAAACGTCTATTACACAAAATTCACCAGTGAAATTATTATCTTCAGGCATCATCAGTGCTCACCTGAGGTCTCTCAGTCTCATGTAATTTGCTTCTTTGTAGTCCATCATAGCCTGAAAAATATATTTGAGTTAACTCACTTTTAAGCCAACAACTGAATCACATTCAGTTGTTCAGCCTTATTGTGTGATGATGCAGTACACTTGGTGAAGTGAATTCAGAGCTAAGTCACATATTTTGTCATTTTAGTACCTACCTCCCTGTTCCATAAGGCAATAGAGCATGTTGATATGAACAAGTCTCAGTTGGTCATCCAACTCCTGCAGTTGAGTATGCAAATCACAGGCCTGTGCAGCCAGTTTGGCACATTGCGCACAGAGGAGAGCGCCCAAAGTTGCAGTGCCCATCAAGGCATACATGGCCTGTAGCTGTAAACTTGGGTGACAAGGAATGCCAGGAGCACCACAGACTTCACATTGATCATTGGATCTTGCCATTATACTTGCTGATGTTGCAACAGTCTCATCTTCCAACTGAGGCCCCTCCCTGGGCAGGGTACTGTGAGACTGAGCTGCAGTTGTCATGATCTGTCAAGAAAGACCAGGGTAATCAAAAGATCAGATAGGTAAGTGTTTTAGCTAATATTCTTGAAGCATTTAATGATTTAATAGCACCCACATAATGAAAGCTTAAACATACACAAAATTGCACTGCAGAGTGCAGAACTACCTGGCTTTATGCTGTGAAAGTTATCAAGAGTGGTACCTACTGACTACTGGATACAAGGCAAGGCTTCGAGTTTTATCCAAATCAAATTGAATTAGGAGCTGGTTTCTGATATAAATGGCCTTTTGACAGTTGACTTAGGTAAGTGCTACCAAGATTATGTACTACAATCAATTATACCTATATGCATAAACACTAATCTAGAAAACCACACCACTTTAGTTAGATTTGCCTTAGATCACCTTCGGATCAGGAACTGGGATCAAGAAATTGATCATTACAAATCCAAATTCATACCTACATCGGTATATACCACCCTGGTACATGTTGTTCTATATACCCTGGTATATACTATCTATAAGAATCTTGGTATATACTGCCTTGCCTACATCCATACAAATCGCAGAAGCGAGAAACGCCTAACACAAGCCTATACAAAGTAGCGTACCTTAGCCCCTTATTATTTCCCTCTTTTCTATTACTGCACCTCGATCTCGCAGTATATGGACAACTGCTAGATATTTTCCACGGTTGATATTCTCCCTCGACCTTCTCCCTCTTGCTCTTCTTTATTGTTTATTTAGGCATATTTACATGCAGCGTGTTTTCCCCTCTTTTCCTAATGGTTGCGTCTCTTCAGCAGAAACCAGGGACTCCGCCACGGTTTTGGGATTAGGGGGGTCCGACCCAAAACACAAAACCTCACTGGTGGATCCAGGACGAATTCCAACACCCCCCCCCCCCCGCAGCGCCCGTAATCGATGAAAAAATGCCGCTTTTCTACAGTAGGTACAAAGACAAGTTAGCAATTTTATTGAAATAATTTTGCTGTAAGCTGCAAAACCAAGGTTGAAATTGCGTAAGGAATCGACAACCGAGAAGCGGAGCCCATTGGCACAGATATGGCGGCCTCTAAAATCAAAGGTCTTGAGGGATTGAGGCCGCTGTTGCGCGCTCCAAGGGCGCTATTAGCCCATCAAACAACGCATTGGCCTCTAAGTGACTGGCATTGCCTTAGGAAGGGACCTACATACATAGGCCCTCAGATATCTATGTATGCTTTAAGGCCAGTTTAGGGTCCTTCAAGGCCGTACTTAAAGGAAAGCGCAGTGCTTTAGTTTTTGTATGGATTTAAAAGCCCTGCCCTCACAATAGCGGCGGAACACGTTCAATTAAGGGGGCACTGCCGACTTTTGGTCCCATTCTTTCCATGCAGCGCCCATAGGGCTAATGTTAAAATGCCCAAATCAAAGGGGGAGGGGCACGGTGCCCCGGTGTCCTCCCCGTTCTGCCGCCGACGTGCCCTCATATAGCAGTATGGGGTCCTAGAGACTGATATTCAGTCTCTGTGATGAGTGTGACCTATCTTAACCTGAAAATGGATATCAAAATGCTCCACTTGAATCAAAGGTCATGTAATGGGAATCCTGTTAGAGTTGTTTCTTGTTGATGTCCTACCTCTACCAACCTGCATTCAGAGCCCTGTGCAGATTATTGCAGATTACCTTAGAACGATGTGAGGCTGCTTAACTAGACTAGTATGGTGCTCGAAAGACCGGCTTGGACCCCCCCCCCCCCCCCCCCCCCCAGCTGACACTATCGGATGACCTCACATGGAAGGGGACAAGAAGGGGAATTCTCAGTCGGTGACACACCAGGGAAATAAGCTAATATTAGAGCGCTCTATTTATTGCTCCCGCTACTTCACCGTCTCCCATAGGGCCCTGTGTTGAGCTGGTGTCGAGGCTCTAAAAATGACGCCGATTTTTGCACCCTTCTCACGAAAACCGCTCGGACCGCCTGGAAACTAATTGTTCCGCTTTAAAAATTTCATGGTCGACGGAAAAATGAACGAGGAAAAGATTGGTCCTGAAATAATTCTGAACTCCCTGTAGAACATATCGAAATATGGCTGCAAACTAGGAGCATGTCAAAATCGGCAAAACAATACAAATAAACTTACCGGGATTTTTTTATTTTCTATGCATCTGTGTATGAAATCAGTCGGTTTTTCGGAAAGATCATCTTCTGTTTAATAAATAATTCCACAATTGAAATCGAGAAAAAAAACATTTCTGCTGTGACAGCAGTTTTGGCATTTTGCCAGTAGTGTGGCGTGCGCGGTGCTGGGTAGTCGTCGGGACGGAGTTGTGAGTATTTTCGGTGTTTTAAATTGGTTGATGGCCATTGGAACTAGCTTTATATTATTTCCTACAAATTTTTGCATCAAATCATGCTTTGAAAGACCATTGAAACCCCTTATCTCTTCATGAAACACGATCATATTCATCGTCGACGAAAATGGCGCGGGACTAGATGTGCGTTTCCATCGAAATAAATCGTAAATTTAATAACAATTGATGATAAATATCATATTCTAGTGACACATTTTCATAAGATAAGGCATAAACTTTGCAAGGAAGTAAACATTGGATAATTGGATTCTTATTTTGCTCACATATCCTTGTAGTAGTCAAATGGCTCAATTGTTAGATAAATGTAAGTATATGTTTTGGCTTGTTGTTTGCTGTGAAACCACCCAGCCACTTGCTGGTTGAGTGGTTTTCTGATAATTACCTGATAATCATTTCTCCTTTTCCTTAAAAGAAACTAAAATTATTTTCAAAGTAACCCATTTTTAGGAAAGGCGGCTGGCTCATTCACATTTCATGTTCTTGTTTTGTTATTGCTGGCAGTATTTGATACAAAAAAATGCAATATGAACTTTTTGCAATAATAAAACTTAAGACAAACTTAGTTAATGCATCAAACACCCAACAGAAAGATTGCGAGTCCTTGTGACGTGAAGTAGAATATTCTATGAATGTGTTTTATAGAATATGCCAAACTTTAAATTGATTTATTATTTGATACTAATAGCTGAGCATGTGAATTATGCCACAATATAATTTCATTTTCTGGTTTTGAAATAGCCGGCAGTATTTTACTTCAACAAATGTAATATACATGGAATACATGTTATGTTATGTTAAACGTTTAATAACAGCCAACAAGAGGGGCTGTTTCAGCAGATAATGTTTGTACCTTATGCATTACCTTTCTTTTCTGCAGGACCATGCTTCCGCTGGGTGGTCAACATTTGCCTCCTGAAGAAGTTGAGCAACATGAAGACCACCAGATGAGGTGTCTGCAGTTCATGTGGAACGCTGCAGACTCAAAGTGTTATGCCAACCACAACCAAAATGCTGTGATCATGAAGGCATGAACCTCATGACAGCAATTCAGATTTGCAGTTGTACCAAAGTGTGATTCAAACCACCTGTGGCATCTCACTCAATGCGTGAACAGCGTGATCATTGTGCAGTGTTCAGCTGCAACTAAGATATTTATTAGTGACTTGTTTTGCAATTAGCCACCAAAAGCATTTTTTGGGCTGGTTGCTGTAATTTGTTGTGCACTGCGCAATAGTGGTAGTGTTTTGTCACTTGTCAAGTTGTCAGTTGTGCATGTTGCATGCAGGGGCGTCGACACCGGTCCGACTTTTCCGACTAGTCGGACCACTTTTTCGACTAGGCGGTGCCCTGCTGTGGCTCGCGGGGGCCCCTGCTGCAGACCGCGGGGGCCCTACTGCGGCTCGGGGGGCCCTGCTAGAGACCGCGGGGGCCCTGCTGCGCCTCTGGGGCCCTGCTAGACACCGCGGGGCCCTGCTGCGGCCCGCGGGGTCCCCTTTTGCGGCCGCGGGGGGCCCCTGTTGGGGCTCTCGGGGGGCCCTGCTGCGGCCACGGGGGCCTCTGCTGCGGCAACGGGGGCCCCCCGCTGCGGCTCGCGGGGGCCCTGCTGCGCCCTCGCGGGGCCCTTCGCGGGGGCCCCCCACCGGTGGGGCCCTCCGAGAAAAAGTCGGACCAGTTTTCCTTACGCGTCGACGCCCCTGGTTGCATGTTTCTCTCCCCTCGGCCTTCATTATCAGTTAAGTGGTGAATTGGCATCACTCAGTCTCCTCAGATCTCCATTGACTGTCTGTCAACCACCACCTAACTTGAGACGGTATTTGCTAATAGTGTCAGAAAAGAAGTGATTGTAGACATTTTAGGAATATGAGCTCCGTTTCATGCGTGTTCCAGTGGTCATTTTGTCACATGTCCCATAGTGTAATAAATGGAAACTGTTGTTCCCTTTTGAAGGTACTCGCGGATGCAGAAAGCGTTGGGCCTAATTATTAAACGCACCCTCCTATCAGCGACACACGAAGTCGACAAATATCATCCTTTTTAGAACAGGAGGAAACGAAAACTTGTGAACATAGCTGTACCTACAACAGTGCATAAGGCATTGAAATTCTGGGAGTTTTTGAAATTCGGAGAAACTCGAGTTGTCGACAGGTATGCCCCCTTGTAGTCAAAGACCGCCTTAAAACAAACGTCTACAAATGAAGGCAGTATTCGTATGTTCGTTGTAATTGCAGCAGCCTAGCAACATGCATTGCGGTCCGATGGCGAAATACATTCGTGCTAAAAAACTATGCCGGCAACTGCCAATGTACTTAGGTCATTGGTGAGGAGAGGAAGGGTTATGTCAACATCATAGAAATGGCTTCATCTATTGAGCTGTGCCTATTGTGCATAATTCAACCAATCAATGCATTTCGTTTCTTGCAATCTACTCATGCTATCACTCCAGCTTCAGAGTAATCATCCCATATTGAACGTCTAAAGATATTGATTTCTATGGCGGTTTGCAATTGCTAGCCACGTCTTATCTCAGTTTGGTGGCCCCGCATCGGCCCACTCGGCGGCTCTAAAATTGACTTACGTAGGAGGATGGTGGCTTTTATTTTAGCTTCCCCGCTGACTGCGGGGAGCGCCGTCGCCGAGGTAGGAGCAATAATAAGCTTATGTTTGGGACTAATTTCCACGCTTAATTAACATTTTGATGTTATTGTAATTAATTCATGTTAATCTTTGACGCATTCTCTTTCTATTGATACCATCCACCAGTCTGAGAAGTGCTGCCTGGCTGCGTAAGGGCCGATAAAAGATCACGCTTTTAGGGGTATCTCTTCAACATGGGGCAGGAGCAATAAATAGAGCGCTCTAATTTTAGCTTATTTCCCCGGTATGTCACCAACTGTTCTCAGATCGATTTGAAGCTCTTTTAGGGCAGTTACTGTGTCAAGGTGTCCTGAAAGCTGGACCGCCCTCACGAAATCAGGGAGACACCGGTTGGTCACGTGACTCGGAAACAAAAATCAGCTGATAGAGTGGCGGAATCGCCGTAATCAAACACGAATAATTCCGGACGATAGAGCGGCAGTATAGGAGTTTTCTTCACAACAGGCAAACATTGCAATGTTTTATCATTCTATGATCAAGAAACGTTATAAATCATATATTTCTTCGATGATTACTGCCGCAACCGACACGCACATATCGTAGCCAGCGCATAAAGCTGTGCTTTGCGATATTAAATGTAAAGAAAAGCATTCTATATCTTGTTTCAGCCTTCTACTTACGCTTTTATAATTACGACAGCGACACCATACGGCCTATCGACGCTATGCAACTCAATGGAGTGTCCGGTCGCACTCTGCCGAGTGTGCCGAGATCAGAGGCGGACCATCCGGGGCACGTCCAGCTGCACTGCCCAGTGTCCAGCTGCACTGCCCGGTCGCTGGGAGGGCGACACCTAGCGCCGCTCTGGCCGCTCGCTTCCACGCACAACTTAGCTACCTGGCTAGTGGCTACGCTTGTGGGAGGGGAAGGAGGAAACCAACAACAGTCTGATGAGCCAATGGAGTCAGCGAGCCGCGCCAATCAGAGCCCTTCCGCGCGCAGACGGGAGCTAGAGCTATTCATCTCCTTTCCTGTTTTCGCTGGTCCGCCAGTCACCAGCATCGTTCCGTGCTCTCCATCGTCGCGATTCGGCTGTGTTGTCCTGTGTGCGTCAGCAACAACAGAGAGCGAGAGAGAAAGAGAGAGAGAGAGAGAGAGAGAGAGAGAGGGAGAGAGAGAGAGTCTCGGATCACGCCAGGCAGCCACATGGGTATCTATTGTTTATTTACTTTCCAGTGATCGCAAGCGTTTAGTTGTTTGGAACCGGGTGTGATCAGTATTTGACGCATTTCTGTGATCTGTATGATAAAACTGAAAAAATAGTGAAATATATCCACTTTAATTCACATATCGCTTTTGATTCATGGTACGGCTGCTTGATTTTGCCACAGCGTACATAGTACATACCTACACAGCCGATCTCGGCATGTTTCTGTTCCAGAACAGCAGCTGCAGTGGACACCAAAAATGCATTCATGTTCTGACAACTTATTCCAAAGATAGACATATTTTACGACGAACGTTCCAGAGAAAGTATTTTCTCGCTCACATATGCTCAGCAAGAAGCGCGCGATTGATTGCAACTAGCACGCTCACGATTTATAATATAGCGCTGGCCAAAACCTGCCCCTTACATCCAAATATAATAATCTTAATTCCAGTCTCTGTCCTATTTATTATCTATTAGCGCATCGAGAGTGAATGATACCACGGCATAGCCGTCATATTACATAGCACAAATTGCGAGACGACGTCGAGATCCGTATCGGCGTATCATTCACAGATCCGGGTGTTTCGCCTCCACTCTCAATCAACCCTGACACACCATCAACCGAACCACGTCGGCTCCAATCATCTTGAGTTCCGTACTGAAATCTGATGGCCGGCCCGTCAGTTGATCATATCTGTCTGCGCGCACTACACCCGAGCTCAGCCTTAAGTGCACTGTGCGGCCTTCTCCAGATGACGCCTCTGAGCATGGCGCTTATCCTGCACCTGGATGTTTAGAGCCTCTTGTTCGTGTACGGCCATTAGCATTTCAGGAGTCGGATGTTCTCGGCGGAGGCGGCGCTGGTTTCCGTGGAGCCGTCAGACGACACCGTCAGCTCGAGCGCCCGCGACTAATGACCTGCAAAACAGCGAGTCGCGGCACGTCACGACGAGTGACGACCGTCACGTTTCAGTCACGAAGGCCGTTATAGAACAGTCACGGCGACTGTCATATAGCAGTCACGGCTGCCGTCACAGGTCACGACGGTCGCGTAAAATGCCACTACCAGCCACGGCGACCACGAATCATACCTCGACATAACGTTCCCTGTCGCACACTCATCCATAATAACAGTACATTCGCCTGTATAATACACATTACACATTTCTCACTCAGCATTTCTCACTCACTCGAAGCTCAAGCCTGAGACCATCAAGCGTCACGACACTTGCAACGGCACCTGCATTAGCAGACATCCCATCCCGGCAACACATCAAGTTCCCCCAAGCAACCCACCTAGGGTCACTGACCTAGTAACGAAGCAGGACACAGCTGACCTGTGGATGCGTTGGTTGACACAATTACTGACCTGGACATAATGTGATCGTTTCTGATCAATGTCGACACGCGCGCCGGCGTATCGACGCCGTCGGCGAGCGGGACGCGGTCGGCTGGCAGGGCGCCGTCGGCGGGCGGGCCGGCGTCGGTCGGCGAGCCTCGTTCGGCCACCGGATCACCTTCGGCCGGCGAGCGACCGTCGGTCGTCGGGCCACCATCGGCGGGCAGAACGCCGTTGGCTGGCGGAACGCCGCCGGCTGGCGGGAGCTGTCGGTGAGCAGGCCATCGTTGGCAGTCCCATCGTGGTCGCGTGGCGCTCTGAAACACAGTAAAGAGTTAATGACTCATTAGGGACCATATTATTTTCAAGTCCTATGCTGAATATCCCTAAGGTAATCTATTTAACTCACCAAGAAATATTCAGAGCATTCACTGGAAGCATAGACATGCAAGTAGGCCTTTAACTGCAATGCTATATTTTTTCCTTATGACACAATATGCCATGCCATTCAAACAGCCCATTATGGTCAAACAGCAGACTGAGTGGAGCATAAAGCAATTAATCTGGTTGTAACTTGTAACACCAAAGGATTGTACAGTGAAGGATAGGTGGTGCCTGACGGCCTTCAATGACAGGTTCAGGCTCTGGAGCTGGTCCTGGATCTGACTCAGCTGACTGCCTGAGGGTGGAGGGCAGAGGAGAACGCAGGTCGGGTTATATTGGCAGACGTTGAACAGTGATTGGTCACAACCATTTACCTATAAATTGATAAATTCACATATTGATGGGAAATGCATGTATGGGACCACGCCTCCATCAGACGGCCAAGGAGGTCGCCCCTGGGCCCGCCTCGGCTCTCGGACCACAGCGACAACCGGCCCCGATCGACCTGTGGTCGACCGGTGATCGGTCACAGTCATCACGCCACTCACCGAGGACGAGGGGACGCCATTATCACCTATCAGGGGGCAGGTAACACAATTGGCATTATATCACTGCCCTAATGCACAACTGACCTGGAGATGACGTGATTGTTTCTGGACAATGTCTGTATGCGCACCTCGTAGCTGGTGATAACACGCTGCCATTTCTGCTGGGTGACGTCCGGCCCACAGCTGGATCGAACCGCGCTGTCTCCAGAACCACCGCCAGATACAACCTGGTGGATAGGATGATAACTCAAGAACCACACAACACACAATGAAAACAAAGGCGACAGCAGCGCATGATGACGATCTTATATCATTTGGCTTATTCAATGTCACCACAGGTTGCAAACACTACATTTTACTAGTCAGACTCCCATGGTGGGCTGATGTGCCTAGCTGTACTCCGAATGTAAGACTTTCCAAATGTAACTTAAGTAAATGTAAAAAATCAACAAATAACTTGTCTAGAAATAATGTTGCTAGTCTAAAACCAGCTCGAGCTCCCCCCCCACCAAAAAGGCACCCAGGAGCACATGAACACCAATGCACAATCACCTGCACAACACAGCACATGCTCAAGGATGCCTGGTGCATGGTGGGGTTTGTAGGTCTACACAGCAATTCACGCTTAGCATGGGCTCTGGCTCAATTCTTCCACATTTATGCAGGGCATACTGGTACACTGGAGGGTACACATTTCCAGATTGGTTGATATAGAATGATGCGGATTAGTCGAACTAAGTGATGCATTTTGCTTGCCTTTTTGCCAAGTATTGTAGTCTGTTTCATACTCACGTCTTCGTCTCCGCGTCAGCATGACACTGCTTTGCTTCGCATACTCCATGCAGCATCGGCAAATGAACCTCGATTGCTTTGAAGAATATAAAAAATGTGCAGCATCCATTCGGGCACAGACCTGCTTTCTTGAATGCAAATCAAGGCTACGAACGAGCCAGGACTTGAGGCAAACTTTGCCCTGCCGTGTTGCCCATAATTGTGGCATGAAAACAAAAAAAAAACTGTTTCCGTGTGATTGCAAATTTCCAACCCCTGCAAAGATCTCAAAAGAGCACAAGAAAAAGGAAACTACAAAAACGCCAACACCCCATACAATCTCTACACAACTCTTTTATGTTATGCGCTTCACAACTTCTACCATCAACAAGCTGCACAATTTTAAATTGAAAATTCCAATGTGCCTAATCGGCCTAATCAAAACAAATTCAAAAATCAGGGATGTTCTCCGTCAGCAACGAACACGCCGTTAAACCAATCAAATGAGAGCGCTGGCGTTCGCTAGCGATAGCAGTACAGTAAACTGTGCGCAGCTGCAGGTGATAATCATGGTCTGCAGTTTTTAACATCGAATTTCGTACTGAGCCCCAATTTATTTTGTATAAAACCTTACACCAGCAGATAGAAAATTTAATTTTGTATATTATTGTACTATAAATAGATGCCGACTCGGTTTTATTTCTTAGTGATATTCCATTGATTGTTACAGTGTGACTTTTGGCAGCAAGGAAGCTCTCACATTCTAGACCAAAGAAATATATCTTATGACACCGAAACTGCAATAAAACATGCCTATCGGGAAAGAAAATTTAATTTTTATTATGATGAACAACTTTTATGAGCCCATCTGCGGTATGTTTACTAACTATGAATGTTTTTGTTCAAGACTGTTTGGTACCCAAAACTTTAAATTTCAACTTTGGAAGGAAAATTGACAATGAGCCCCAATTAGCTGAGCTTTAACACTTTTATATGTTATAGTCTGTGCATTTCTGCACATTTTGGTGGTTTATTTAGATGCCGACTCGGTCTTGTTTTTAAACAATATTAAATTTAGTGGAACAGGGTGACAAAGAACACCAATGGTGGTGATGTATTCAACATGGATTAATTCTAGTTTTGAGCATTAGTAAATGCAAAACACACATAAAATATGAAAGACAATTCAATTTTGATATTGAATGCTACTGATTTGAAACCCACACCACTGGTATTATTCGAGAATTCGTGGTATAACTTTGGCAGGTCCGGCGGGATGACAACTTTGGGAGCATGGTGGTTTCGAAATTCAAAGAAGCAATATTAGGCTATGATAATAGTTTTTCACTATTAGTTTTTATTTTTAAGGATGAAAACACATTTTCGTTACTGAAGAATCCCTACAACCTAAGATTGATTATTTTCGAAATGGCGTGGCCGGCTTCAAAATTATCTTCGCAAATACTTTACAGAAATACACCAGTCCTGCCCTGAATACATTTCTCGATAATATATATGTAAATAATAAAACATTTAAAAATATGAGGCCTAGTTCCCTTTTTTGGAATGAAAAGGCCAGCTGAAAATAGTGGTCAAAATACCTTAGTGTTGTGGCGGCGAACCGGTTTTACCTAGTTCTCTATATACCGTGCACGAAATGATAGGCAAATTATAGCATACCTAGCTAATCTTAGCAATCTTAAGGCCTGGCTACACTATGCGTTTTCTGCGTGCGTTTTTGCAAGTTTGCGTGTTTTGCGTAATATCGTTCTAGGAAAAAGTTATAAACAATATAATTTTTACTTTGGTTATATACAAAAGCTAATATAACTCTTATGTAACTAAAATTTAAGGTGAAAAACATCACAAAAACGTAATATCGTTCTTTTTTCTAGAACGATATCACGCAAAACACGCAAACACGCAAAAAACGCACGAAGAAAACGCATAGTGTAGCCAGGCCTTTACACTAACACGCATGCATAGTAATAACAAAATGGAGCAATGATGACAGTCCCGTATAGGTCGGCGAGTGTTGAGTTCTTTGTCTGTCACAACATTAGGTTTAATGGCTCCCTGCATTTCTAGATCTCAAATTCCTTAGCTTTACGACTGTCAACACATTATAAATGCATATTGTGAATGATTTAGTCATTCTTTACGCGAACACAAGCTTATAGGTATCCGGAATATTGGGGGGTACTGTACCCCCCTTGGGGGGGTCCGGACCCCCGCGTACCCCCCCTGTGGCGGAGCCCCTGGCAGAAACATGTTCGCTAGCATTACTAACAAATGTCTCAACTGCGCCGATCTATATTTTTTACGTGTTGAAAACGCTGGTTATGTGTTCTTTGCATGTGCTGATCGGTAATCGCAGTAGAAAGAGTGGGAAAAGTCAGAGCATGGTCAGAGGATTCCGGGGGAACAACATTCCGATTTTCCGTTTCGTCAGTGATCTTTATTTGATCTTTATACCGTTCGTGTCCGCTTGGTCCGGTCTTGTTTTGTGAGTTCTGCTGTTGCCACAGTATAGTATAATAATGTACTTGTGTTGAGTATGTTGATTGAAGTGCTTTTGACAGTTTGAGTTGACACCAATTATTAAAAGCTCCACTTTTAATTTGATAAGTAGGTATTTGGTGTTTATGGATTGCATTCTTCTAGGTGATTGTGTAGGTGGTATTGCAATTGGTAGAGGATGCGTAACACAAAGGTTTTCCAACTAAGGAGACGCGCTACAGGCGGGGATGGTCTGCGGTTGGTGGGAGTAGCCCCACCCCACCCTTGAAGTCAGTTGAGTGGGACAGGCTGTGTGCGGCTTTGAGGGGCACGTTACTTTTTACTTTGGCGTCTAAATTCTCCCGTTACCTGGAATTGCACGAGCAGACAGGAGGATTGCCTCCAGCTCTGTCAACCGTCCATTCAAACATTCAAGCTAAATTTATAAAAAAATAATAACCACAAACCTAGGGTTATAATCTAGGACTTGCTAGGATAATGATGTTAGGTCCATGATCTCAGTGAATCCTTTGACAGCATTATGCTAAGATAATGATCCTGCCATGTAGAGTAAGGACTGGATCCATGATTGGTACAATGGCATCCTATTTTCCGATGTGAGACTATATCCGAGCGTAAATTCATTTCCCACATCCTTGTTCATGTCCAGGACACACATTTTGAATGTAAAATATGTGCATTCAGCATACATGAGCATATTGGTGATGAAGAGCTGTTTGGAAGATAAGCTGAAACTGATCATTGGTCAATGAATCTGATTATGGTTTATTTCTCTTGGTTCTCAGGATTTTGACTTGCAAGCGCCAAGCATTGTGGCACGTCTTTGAATGCATTAAGGATAATTGCTATGCCCTACATAGTTGAGCATAATCAAAGTTAAGTTGCATTAAATGGTAAGTGCCTAGCCTTGCAAGTTGCAAAGTAAGGAAGACCACCTCTATTTAATTCGGGATGCATTGAAGGTGAGTTCACTGGGACAAAAGCTAAAACTTGTGCCTTTACACAATTTTTATAGACATAGATGTTTAGCTACTACTTTTGCATTTGGCAATGCTTATTGCGCATGGATGTCATCCTTAAGCCTTTGTGATCTGCATGAATATAGATTATAGATTGCACACTGTACTTATTAGCAAATTGCTCCTCTATGCCCAGTTATCCTGCATCAACAATCAGTCGCATCTGCTCATGAACAGTTCCAACGAGGCTTCACACCTAATGCACGTCTCATCCACGGCGGCCTCTCCAGAGCAATGACTGGCCCGTGCCCTGAGCACCCCCCCCCCCTTCCACATACGTAGCCACACATTTCTCTGATCCTTGTCCCAATGCCCACTCCCTCATCACGATCTCCGAGTTTCAGCGCGCTCACTGATGGCCGGGCCCTTCCTTCGGCAGCCGACTGTCGCTCCGTCCCGATGGAGCGGCCCGGACGGCCGCCGCGCGCCCAGCGAGCATGGACTCAGTGTGAGATAGCTGCTGCTTCTGCTGTACTTAGACCCAGCTGTCTGGGTGCCCGACCAGCGCCCGCACCGCTTCCACTCTCTGTTTTGTTTGGCTTTTTTTGCACCCGCTCGCTTGGCGTGCTCTGTTTTATTTTGCCGTAATAAATTGAACTCTGCTTCTCTCTACTTCGTTTGGGGGCAAATTACATGAACTAGTAGTATCATAATTGCCTTTTTTAGCCACCTGTGCAATGTGCATGCTTGTACCTTTTGCTGCTTTTATTAGCCAAATGTTTAGCTAGTGGTATAAGTGGCTGTTCTGCGTTCACAACCATGCCAGAGTGCTGTGATTTTGTTTCTTGATTTGTGATGGTTGATGACTGTAACACACCTGAGTTGAGCTCTCATACAGCTGGTCACTGGTGACGGCCTTACACCGTAATCCTTTCCATGATTTCTTATTCTGGTGTGCAGGAAGCTAAATCACAAGGTGATTTGTTATGTCACAAGACATAGTTTTGTCCTCTGGTAAACGTTTATAATTCAAGTGTAATTTCGTTGTGAGGATAATTGATTTACATATACCCATCAAGAACGCATTTTAGCTGTTTTGACCGCGCAGCTAGACGTAGAATGTGTAGATGCTGAGAGCCGTAGGTGTCGTCTAAGTCCATAACCGCCTTGTGATATAAGAAAATAAACTGAGTCTGAATGGTTGTGATGTGTGAATTTTTGTGTCACTCTTGACGATTATATTCAAATATGATGATCTTTTCATTCATAACAAGTTGGGATTGTCGATCACAGCGGTACGTAGCTTTTAGATAGCTTCTTCCAAGGTTCATTAAAGAGTACGGTACCTGGAACGGCCAAAATAAGGGTTATTGCACAGCTTTCCCCGTAAAGACAACAGTGTTTGAGCTATGTTTAAGAATATTTGTCTGGGCTACAATTAACCCCACGTCCGGAGTCTCGGACGACGAAGATTCTACGTCGTCCGGCCAATCCCGTTCCACAACCGCAGCCAAGCCCTTGCTGACCTTGAACGGGATTGGCCGGACGACGTAGAATCTTCGTCGTCCGAGAGACTCCGAACGCGGGGTAAAGCACGAGTTCAGCGCTATTCATGATCACGATCAGTGCTATCTCCCGCGAGTTTGTTCCGCCTTTTCTCAGCGGGGCTTTTCCTTGAGCTTGGTTCTCTATTTGGTTGATGAAATTGATAGACTCGAAATAAGTTTGTATAGGTATTCATGGCCGGGTAGCATGTACGAGTAATGACTAATGAGTATGCTACAGTTCAGCTTCAAGTTCAAAATTGTTTTGTTTTTTGTTTTGTTGGGTTTGGCCCTTTCGGTCGACAAGACCATTGCAGAGCCGGAAGGATGATAGGAATTAGGGGGAGACATTGGTCTGGGCAGGCACCCTAGTGAGTCGCCGGGGCTGAGCCCGTCCAGAGGACAGGCCACCCAGCCCCAAGGCACTCACTGCACCCGGCTACGGGGTGCGCTCCCTCGGGAGCAACGGTGCCGCTTCAAGGGAGCAGCCCGCATGAGATAAAGTTGCCTGTCCAGCCCGGAAGGGGGTTGTGGCGTGGAGGAGAAGGATTTCAGTATCCTGAGGATAGAAGCACGGATAGGTGAAATTGTCAAAATTGTCAAAATTGTCAATGAAAAATCTAGATGTTTTAGCATGTATCTGTCTCCGTGCTTCGTTATATGAGTAGGTTAGGTCGCAGAGTTCTTCGTTATATGACAGCTTTCGTATTATGAGCTGCAACTTGCAAGGTAGGAATATGGTCCAGTTTCTGTTGTATGACCTTCGGTCGGGGCTTCTGCTTGTGCCCCGTAGAGGTCGCAGTTGGGACCGAGATTGTTCGCCTGCTGCCAGTAGGTGTCGCTGTGAGCGGCCGGGCAGACGGGAGCGGACGGGACCAACTCGAGAGGAGTGCCGCGGGTAATTGGCACTTCTGCTTGTAATTTGATTCCAAGGACAGAAGTTCTTATCAGAGTTTCAGCTCAGGTTTCATGAGATTCTGAGAATTTGGAATGCCAATTAACTCGGGTATGACAGTCGTTATTCGTAGTCCAAAGGCAATTTAGGGTTTTAAATACTTAGGATGGTTGTCGAGAGGACACGGTGGCCAGTGCTCGTATTGTCGATTAGTATTATGATGTTTCTTGAAGAGCTGATTAGCTGTGGTATTTTGAATTTGAGGCTTGCAGATACTATGTGACTGCTTAAAAAGCGTTCAATTTGAAGGAATGAAATGTTTGACATCGAGAATATTGTGTCATGGATCTGAGCATCTGGGTGTCATGAGACGTAATATCAAATTTTAAGTCCGAAGTGGAATTGTTTATTTGGTTCTGCGTGAAAGTTTGGGGCTTATTCAAACAGTGAGCTTGGGGGCCTTGCTGCCCCTTTTTAATCATGGAGAAATTGTCTCATAAATGCCCCCTCGCCTAGCGAGGTGCGGATGAATGAACTGAAACTGTACCGAGCCTGATTATGAAAGTTGACCTATAATCACCACGGGAAGGCCATAAACTGGTCTGGTTTTCTACGTATGTGACGACTGAAGATTAAATCACCAGGGACGTGGTCGGCGCTGTTTTGTCACCGGGCGAGACAAGGCCACAAGGCCACTGGGAATAAGGGCTCCGATAGAATCGGTTCCAGCTGCTCACCGGATTAATTGTTAGTCTAGTGCTCGCTTGCCGAGCGTCTGTGAGGCTGACGATGGCCTGTTTCAGTTGAGCTGCCGTGATGACCTATGAGTGGGTCATTTTGGGGTCATTTGGTATCGCTGTATAGGTGGACTACGTTGTCGCACTTCCATATACCTTTGGAATGCTCGCGAATATTGGAAGGCTCGTATACCGTTTACTGTTCCCTATGCGTGCCGATGGAATTTTGAGATTTAATTTATTAAATACAAAGCCACCGATTTGCGTAGCGTGGCCAGACATCGACAGAAACAAATGCGCGTCCACGCGAGAGCTGAGCGTCCGTCGAAGCCGATTTTTTTTTTATATTATTTTAGTCTCAAAATCCCATTGGCTGTCACCACACTACGATCTGTTTCCCCGTTCATATGATGTGAGCATTGGTTTTTCGTCCATCAGCGGAGCACGTTGCTGGCGATGCTTGGCATTCGTCTTGTATACCTATTGGCGTATTTATTTGAGTGGTTGATTTAGTCTAGTTACTCAGATAGACGGTGAGGTGAGCTCAACTGAAAGATCTTCGCGCTGAGCGTCGTCGTTCACGGAAACATCACGTCGTCGCTCACGAATATACCTAATGAGTGTGTTAATTTGGACTGAACTTTTTAATCGATCCACAATCACATATGTCTGTGCAGTTGACTTTGGTTGTTAAATTGATAGAAAATTAACTGACGTACCAACTGAGCCTTGTGTAAAGTATCCATCAGCCACCTGCCGAAATGGGTCCACCTCTCTACAATTCGTTTGGCTAACAATCGAGCCATTGGGGACCGATCGGGCGCCACTCGAACGGTGCTGCTGTTATCAGCACCTACTCCGTATGTCAGGCGGACTTGTCGTGAGATCAGGCGGGCTACTGGTGAACGGTTACAGCACTTTGGCCCGGCGATGGCTCACTGTCGGAGGGCGTGCAGATTGCAGATCAGCATTCTGGTATCTGAGAGTGTGACTTAAAACCAAAGATTTGTGCTAGGTATGTGAAGATAAGGTGATTGTAAATTGTTTAAACATGCAAAGTTTAAAACATTGCATTCTTACATACGGGTATGTAGTATGAACTTGGGAACTGCACACGTATCACAAATGCATATTATTGTAAAATAACGTCGAATTTGTCTTTGGGCAAGGGTTTAAGTTACATAGTGACCTGACCTCATTAGGTGATATAATCGAACGAGTATCCGGAGAGCGACTTCTCATTCCGCTATCACCATGCTCCCGAATAAAGGTGGCAGGGCACTGGCTCCCAGCGTGATCTGGTCGGGCTACAAGTGCGGAGCGCTGATTCAAATTGAGCACCCCTGTTGTCTCGGACGAGGGGTGCGCATCTGGTTTGAGCATATGAAGATGAGCGTGTGCCTGTTGCGGCCGACGGGGGCGGATTACCGAGCGGCCGGCGCCAGATACGGGACGACACGGCGGCGGCTACGGCGGCTGACCCGGCAGCTCGGCGGCGGCTGACCCGTCGAGACCGGTCTCCTCCAGCCGGGCTCACTCATCCCATCGCCGCCGAGATCACGTGGTGCGTGAGCCGCCACCTGTGCTGCCATATGCCGTCCCGTGACCGGTGGCAGCCCTGGCCCGCTGGCGGCTTGTGCTGGACGCGCGCGAGCGGACGGGGTAGGCGGCTGTGCGCGCCGGCCCGCAATCGGTCTCGAACGCTGGAGGGGGGCGCACCTGTGCGGCGTGCGCGCTCGACTGGAAAGCTCGGAGATACGCCTCCGGCCGCTCTGGAATCTGGTGACGTCACGGCGGTGCATCTGGAACGCCGTGAGGGACGGACAGAAACGGCTCAGCTCCGGTGGGAGACGGCAGTTCGGAGTCTCGGCTCGCCCGGACTGCGTGAATGCGTGTGCGTGCAAAGTGCCGGCGGTAAACTGTGAGGCGTGGCTTCTCAAGTGCTCCTTGGAGCTGGACTGTTGTTTCAAGCTGTGAATCACTTAGACGCCGCTGGAGACCTGTCGCGGCGGATTTAGTGCGTACCGGCGCTCGGTAACCTTCAGTGCGGGCTGTTGTTTTTGTCGCCGTAATAACGGCGCTGCGCGGCACGACCGCCGGGATCCGGGATGTCTCCTGTACCAGGCCGAACCGACGAGACGGGTCGGCAGTCTGCAGCCGCCGCCGAGGAGGCCTCGCGTGCCGAGTCGACCTCGGTTAAGGCCACGAACGGACATGGGACCGCCGACGGACATGGTACGAATGGCACCGGTGCAGCTCAGAAAAACGGCGGGGCAGCTGCGGGGACTGGAGCTGAGCGCACGGCAGACCCCACGGCAGGATCTGCAGCTGAGCCTTCACCGGAGGCTAAAGCCGAATCGGCGCCTAAGGCTGTAGCTGAATCATCGCCGGAGGCTGTGTCCGACCTCGCGTCCGAGTCGACAACGGAGGCCCGATCAGACCCCGAGGGTTCGTCGTCGCCGGCTGCCGACCGTTCCACAAAGACCGACAACGGTGACCACGGTGACCGGCGGGCTCCGACCCCGGCCGGAGCTTCCCAGAACTCTGCAGAGAACGGCGGGTCGGCCGGTGACGGTGGCTCGGCGGCGTCCCCTGTCGCGGACACTGCACCGGTCGCCGGTCCGCTGACCCCGCCAGACGGCCAAAGCGGAGCCGACAAGACCCCGCCGTCCGATAGCGGGGGTGGAGAGGACGAGCAGGCGGCGACCGGCACTCAGAATGGGACGGAAAAGGAAGGAACACAGGACAATGAGAGAATCGAGGAGCGTGATGTTCGCGGAAAATCAGCAGAAGCTAATGGAAATGGAGAAAGTGTTGACGAGAGCGAGTGCTCGACTGCCGCCCAGTCGCTTGAAACCAGCACCGTCCAGCCTTCGAGCGATACAGATAAAGGAGGAACTCTTCCCGTGGCGTCGGCGAAGGGGGAGGGACAGACGTCAACAGATAATCTTAGCTCTGATGACAATCGCGAGCCACTTGAGGCTGCGCGTGATCGGAGGTCGGTATCTCCTGCGACGGTGGCCACGCCGCCGGTCGCCGAGGGAGCAGATAGTGCGCCGACGTCTGCCGAGCCGCCCGCGGTGGTACAGACCAGCGCTGCGTCGCCAGCGGCCGGGAGTCAGCCCAAGTCGCCCCACTCTCCGACCAGCGCCGGAGCGAAGCCTAAGGAGCGTCAGCAGCAGGAGCCGCAGCCGTCCGGGTCCGGATCGTCGGCCAAGAACGGCATGACCGATACACGCTCCATCTGGGTGGTGGGCTCCGAGGAGCACCTGCCCGGCGCAGGTAACGTTACCCGGCCACTACAGTACCCACTAGTCACTACCCACTGCCCACCGGTCGCCGCCCATTACCCAGGCAGTCATCAGGAGAAGCTGTCACATGGTAGCATACCCTATCAACCCAGGGACCTTGCCCAGTCTCCAACCAGGTACCGGAAGGTGTCATAAAAACCCCACTTCTTGAATGTTTGATTTGCCTCCTGAGACATGCCTAGTTCCTCACATACAGAAGTCGCTTCCGTTCGCTGAAAAATGCCCACCGCACCTCTCCTAAATCATGGAATTTCTTGGTTTGTCCCATTATTGGTTATGTAACATTTTACGATCGTTTTAACTCTTATTTGTGTTTCCGAAGCGGTCGTAAATCACTACGATCCTGGAGCTGACATGGGACAGGCATTGCCTTCCACACACAAATTCATTAACTAATTGTGCCTCATATAAACATTTATTTGTTCTGTAGCGACAGTTGTCAGTGTTCCTTCCCTTATTAGCGTTGCTTTCTTCTCCGCCCCGTCTATTAAAAGTCCGGTTGGCCGTTCTGTCTCTGTCCGCGCTTAGCTCCGCCGACCGGCCGGCCGCACCCTCTCGGCTTGTTGAGCTGAAGGCTGCGGCTGGTGCAGCGTCAGAACGGGCGGATTAGACAGCTTACCGCTGACAGGCCGGCCGACCGCGGCTCGTCTCCGACCTGCAAAAATCAGTACGGCCAGCCGACAGGTACAGAGTAGATGGGAAAGGTCCGCGGTCACCACACAGGGCCCAGGACATGGCATTATGGTTGGTGGTTATGTTACAAACTAACCGGCGTTAGCTCTTACCAAGGCTGAACCTAAGGAGTTCCCAGTCTCACGTGACCCTCTAATGTGTGGGAGCAGCGGTCGTCGATTTATTCGGTCGTACCCGCTGTTGTCTCTGATCAGTATTCTAGATACGGTCCTTTTAGGTAATCATCTCTTCTATCATCCATACTTATGGACTGTTATGGCTGTGATGTATGGTGATCGGTCGCGTCGATACTTTGGGGACGACTTGTATCCTCCCACCGCGGGACCCGATTTCCATGTCGGACCTAACAGGGCTCTGTCACCGTGGCCCTGTGTGTGTATGTCGGACAGGGACTGACCTATGTTCTACCCTGACTCAGAGGGAAGCTTTACCCCCCGGTCCGCTCCAACCGGCCGGCCTGCGTCACCTCTCGTCCCACATTGCCGCTGAGCTGACCCCTTGTTAGGTTGGCCTTAGAGACGAGCTGCTCGTCAGCTCACCGGTCTGACGTCTGGCTCACCTCTCGTCCTGTCGACTGCGGGGGCCCGACTCCCCTTGTTACCGTGATCTTTGACGGGAGGCCTCATCGCGTGCCCTCTCGATCATCCCCGACCTCTGGGTCACCGCCCACCCTGTCTGCCCGAGGACGTTCTTCTGTGTGGCTGTTGCGCCACTTGGTAACAACGGACCGGGCCCTTTTGCTTGGTGGAGTTGGAATAACGCCGTAGGAGCGGGGCCGGTTCCTTGTCCGGACGGATGCGCTTGACCTTAGCTTTGTACCGGTTTGTTTGCGAAAAGTTCCAACGAAAAGCCGCCTATTTATCTTTTGGGTGGACATTTGAGGTGGCCATTTTTAGTAGTTCCGGTATGTATGTCTTGTATTTAAGTTGCATGTCAATGCTGTTTAGTGGTTAATTATTAGAATTTAGGATTGAGGGAGTGGTGCATGTTGTCATCATATTCATCATATAATACTATATCGTCATCGTACGTCAAATCGTACGCACTGATGTGGTCACATCCTTGCGATATCTTGTGACGCATACAGGAGTACGTCACGGTCCGTCATTCCGCGTCACTGCGCACAGTCGGGAGACCTCTCCAAACCACATACGTCACCGCCCGTCACCCGATGTCATCTCACGTCATCACGCATCATCCCACGTCACTGGTTACGATGACGAGTATGTCATCACACCGTCGAGTGCCGCCGGTCCTCGCCACCCACGAGCGCACGTTACAAGTGGCGTTATGGGGATCGTGACGAATCGTCACGCCCAGACACCCGTTACGCGTCGGCGCACATCGCTGCGTGCTGTCGAACGCCGCTGTGATGGCCGTAGTTCGGGTATGGAGCGCGTCCCTGGTTATTGTACGGAAGGGGTGAATGAACTGGAAGCACGCTGCTTATTGTCACTTTCCAATAGGTAATTGAACAATTATTTTTTCCCTGTGCAATGCGTAAAAACTTCCGGTGCGTACTATGTAAGAAGTTACGGGGCACATGCGGGGCACAATGACAAACTTGCGGTCGAACGATGTGCCTATCCGTTCCCATGGTAATGATTTACCCTTGCTGAAGAGAGAGAATCTGGACTCCCAATTGCCAGCAGCATGTCGGTCAGTTTTCCTGACCCATTTTTTGCCAATCTTCACTTATCACTACCGTATAGTATCCCGTCGTCTTTCTGTAATCCTAGTGGCTCTCGTCCCGTATCCCCATTGACCCCACTGACCGTGTCCCGTCTGTCGGCACTCGGCAGTGGGCAGTTCGTCCCGCGCTCCCACCGACCCGACTGACCGTGTGTTCCATCTGTCCGGCAGTGGGCAGTTCGCCCCGCGTTCCTAATACTGACCCCACTGACCCGACTGACCGTGTGTTCCGTCTGTCCGGCAGTGGGCAGTCCGTCCCGCGTTCCCACTGACCCGACTGACCGTGTGTCCCGTCTGTCCGGCAGTGGGCGGCGAGGAGGCCGGACCGGCCGCCTCCTGGGCCACTGTCCACAGCACTGTCCGTGCCATCCGCGTGTTCAAACGCGGCGTCAGCAAGCGGCTGCGCCGTCCGCCGTCCCGCGACCAGCCTGCGGCGGAGCCGGCGGGTCGGCCGCCGCGGCCCAGCCGCAGCGCCGACCGCCAGCTCTCGCAGCCGGCCGCCGAGCCGCGCCAGGAGACACCGGCCGCCGGAGGTTTCCTGCGCTCCCTCTCGTTCCGCCGCTCCGCCTCGTGGAGGGGCCCGCTGCGCCGCGCCGACCGCCAGCCGCGCGATCAGCCGCAGGTAAAGGGGACGGGGGGGGGGGTCAAGGGAGGGGCTGGCTTCCTTTTGTGAGCCTCCTTCCTTCTGTACGAGAGCAATGATACATTTTCGGTTCGACTGTGAGAGTGTGATGTTTGAACAATTGGCCGTGTTATCGTACCGATAACAGTGTTTATTCTTGTCGTGGACCTGTAAATCTACTCGGGTCGCTGGGAACTGTTTGACTAATGCGTCATGTCATGGACTTTAAACCGTGCGTGTACTGTAATGTATCACATTGCCTTTTAACGCGCAAATGCCGAACGTTTTCCGGCCTAATTCTACGATTGACGGGTTAGGACCGACGATCGCTTCTGGTCTCCGATGCGGGTCCGACCTCTGACCTTTCCCCGTCCAAATGGCACTGTGTGACTATCCTCGCCGACCACTGACAGTCAGCTCTCCGCCCTTTCCACAGGTGGGTGCCGAAGCGCCCGCTGCTGCCGGTCCGTTCACTCCCTCGGCCGGTCCCTCCGCGGCCGGAGGGGACTTCGCAGACGGCCTGGAGGCAGCCATGCAGCACACAGACGCCGCCGTGCCGTTCCAGCCTACAGTGGACCGCGCCGCGTTCAGTGACGCGTGCGCCACGTATGAGCCGCCTCAGAAGCATGTCGGTCCGGCCGCCGACTTGGCAAGCCGGGACAAGAAGGAAGCGCAGGTGAGAACACGCGGCGGTGCAGTCGGTAGGCCGAGTTCGTAGCGGGGAGCTTCAACCGCTAATGTAGGTACTTGTTACGGAGCGAGCGAAGCGAGCGGAGTCTTTCCTTAGATTAACGGAAATTTCTGAGTATGAGCGGCCGGCCGGCCGGCCGGCCGGCCGGCCGGCCGTGGTCACGCTTTTGCGAGGCTTATATCTCAGCAACCACTTGACCGATTTACACGCGGTAATTTTTGTAGGGTAGCTTCATTCCTTCTACCAAGTATTGGACTATTCCCGATGCATGTGGGTGACCCCTTATGCACGTGCCACGTGCAAAACGAAGAGGTGTCACTTTTGTAATTGTTGCAATATCTCGGTAACTACTTGGCCGATTGCGCTGAAAGTTGGCATGTAGCTAGGCACCCACTAGGCAATGCATATCCATGTGCCAGAGTTGGGGTGCTGTTGCACGTGCGCACGTGCAGGAGTCGTTTCCAGATCTCGGGAACGGCTGGACCGATTGCGCTCAAATTTGGTACACGGTTAGGGACCGGTTAGTAGGGTGCCGTGCACAAGTCAGTTGGGACCCATTTTGCACGTGCGCACGTGCAGGGTGCCGCTTCCAGATCTCGAGAACGGCTGGGCCGATTGTGCCCAAATTTGGCACATCGCTAGAGACCAGTTAGTAGGGTGCCGTGCACAAGTCAGTTGGAGGTACCCCCTCGCAATTTCGCACGTGCAAGGCCCACCCTCTCGCTCGCTCCGTTAGTCGCCCCAAAAGGCGTTATACTGGTCTTGTAATGCTTAGTGCTAGAGATATCGTTTTGCGTTGTGGCCTTAGTAGTCTTTCAACTTCATGTGTTGTGGTGTCATTCATGTCGGGTACGAGAGAATTGTCTCGAGATAAGTGTCTCGTACCCGTATTTAGCAATCAGTTGCAAAACGCTTCTTTCTAATGCTTGCTTATTACCAGTATAACGCCTTTTGGGGCGACTAACGGAGCGAGCGAGAGGGTGAGCCTTGCACGTGCGAAATTGCGAGGGGGTACCTCCAACTGACTTGTGCACGGCACCCTACTAACTGGTCTCTAGCGATGTGCCAAATTTGGGCACAATCGGCCCAGCCGTTCTCGAGATCTGGAAGCGGCACCCTGCACGTGCGCACGTGCAAAATGGGTCCCAACTGACTTGTGCACGGCACGCTACTAACCGATCCCTAACCGTGTACCAAATTTAAGCGCAATCGGTCCAGCCGTTCCCGAGATCTGGAAACGACCCCTGCACGTGCGCACGTGCAGCAGCACCCCAACTCTGGCACATGTATATGCAGTGCCTAGTGGGTGCCTACCTACATGCCAACTTTCAGCGCAATCGGCCAAGTAGTTACCGAGATATTGCAACAATTACAAAAGTGACACCTCTTCGTTTTGCACGTGGCACGTGCATAAGGGGTCACCCACATGCATCGGGAATAGTCCAATACTTGGTAGAAGGAATGAAGCTACCCTACAAAAATTACCGCGTGTAAATCGGTCAAGTGGTTGCTGAGATATAAGCCTCGCAAAAGCGTGACCACGGCCGGCCGGCCGGCCGGCCGGCCGCTCATACTCAGAAATTTCCGTTAATCTAAGGAAAGACTACGCTCGCTTCGCTCGCTCCGTAACAACATTTTTTGTGTGTGTTAATCGCCTGCCTAGTTTCAAACGTCACGAACCCGCTTTCCGTGTTTGTATTACCGCCATTACGCCACGGTCTTTGCTGCATTGCGATCAATCAGTCGATGTCCACTTATTCTTTTTGTGTGGTCGATCATCTTGTTTGATTGCGACAATCGCCGGTCCTCATGATACCGCTGATAACCCCGTGGTGATCGATAATGACGCTCGCTCCGTCCGCCCCGCCAGCTGAAGGAGGAGCTGCGCTCCAGCTACTATCCTCTGGACCACCCCAGTCGACACCAGCTGTGGGCCAACATATGTCAGATGCACGGAGCCACGCTGGGCCAGAACGAGGAATACGAGAGCACAGTCAGACAGCTGGAGGGAGAGTTAGGTGGGTAACTAGGGGAGAGTACCAGGGAGCGATGAAAAGCTAGATATTGTTGCTGTACAACAGAGCGACGAAAAGCTAGAGATTGTAGATCGGTTATTGAGCCCTGGGTGAGAACTTACAGCATTTTGCAATGTGTGAGAGGGGATGGCAATGATGTGGAGGTCCAACTAACCCTGCAGACACGGGGATGACTTTTCAAGTTGACTGAGAAAAATACGCCGCAACTGATCTACTAATTTGTTTTGTGAAAGCTGTATGCTATTTTTAGCTGTAGTCCAAGTCCACTATTTGCGTCCTGCCTCTGCCTTTAGTTGCTGGATCAGTCGACGCTTGTTGTGTGTTCTGTCGTTCTTTAGGTTTGCACCGCTCTAACTGACGTCCCTGCCGTCCTCCCAGGCCCGGCGCGGCGCGGACAGCACCAGATGCCACCGTTCGTCCACTCGTTCTACATGAACCGCTACGCGCTGTCGGAGCGCGGCGTGTGGTCTGCCGAGCGGGTGATGGCCGTACTCTACTACAATAACCCGACCATCACGTACGCGCCGTCCCTGTACCCGACCTGCTGCCTGCTGCTGCACTACATGGACGGTATGCGGCGACGGGCTATCTCAGGGGCGGGGGGGGGGGGTCTGCTGCTGCAATACATGGACGGTACGCGGCGCCGGGTGGCCCGGGACAAGGGTGGGACGGTAGGGAGGGGCTATATTTTACTGCATACACGGTACGCTGCGCCGGCCTGAAGAAGACGGCCGGAGACAGGGAGGGCGTGTTTCCGTGTGTGCTGTTCAAGACTGGGTCTGTACCGCTGATCGTCGGTTAGGTCGAGTCTGTTTTGCTGCCGACTGCATCAGTGCCATGGATTATTTACAAGTTGTCGACAGGCACAACACTGATGCAGGCGAATCGAAAATAAGGTTTTTAAAAAACGTGTAACGTAGGTAACGTAGGTCGTACTAAAAACGTTCTTCGTTATCGAAGCCGATGGTTTTGTTTCCCCCTCGCAGAAGCTGACACATACAACGCTTTGAGCATGATGCTGCGGAACAAGAAACAGGGCTACATTGTGCAAACGAAACGTGACTTCGAGATATCCTGGAAGATCCTGATCAAACTCTGTCGAAAACATGCCGTAAGTGCAAATGACTGTTTGAGACTACGATTTCCAAGGCCGTCGTAGGTAGTGTGAGGTGTATGCATGAGCAGTGAGCAGTCTAGACCCTCGTTTCACATATACGTATAATTGATCGGATGCCATTTGCCGTAGCTGAAGAGGCTGCCCTCTACGTCTCTGCACTAGAACATTGGAGCAGTATTGCGTGGTTCTCCGTTGTGCCGGCTGGCCGTCCGCCGTCCTGCCAGTGTGTTACTTGTTATACTGAATCACACTTTGCTGACCGGCTTCTCTCCGCCCCCGGCAGAAGACCAGCGTGCACTTTCTGCAGCAGGAGGCGCGCGCCGGGGAGAACGTGGACCACGTGCTGGCCGACTGGCTCGCCTGGCTCTTCTGTTTCCTGCCGTTCGCGCACGCCGTCCGTCTCATGGACTGCTACCTGATGGAGGGCGAGAAGGTCAGAGCGGGGCTGGGCATGAGCGGAAAGCGAAGTGCAAAAACATATCAAGGAAAACGTTCTTGATCTGAACCTGAAGCATAGTTACATATACGGACTCCTAGTCACTTAATGGCCTCTTATCTTTGACCTCAGTCATTTCACCGCTGACTTCTGACTTCTTACCGCTGACCGGTGATCGCGGACCTCTAACCATTGATTTGACGGTGACTTATCCCGACAGGTGTTGTACCGCGCCGCCATGGCTCTGGTACTCCTGGTGCACAAGATGGCCTCTAACAACCTGGGCGAGTGGGGCAACTCCTTCAAAGAGAACACCGTGCAGGAGGTCATGGAGAAGTTCTGTACCAACATGCAGGTAAACATAAAAGCTTGATGGTGCCTGGTGACTGAATATTAGCAGCTGCCAGTTTTTTTTCAAATACGCTTTTTCTGGAACTCACCCTTCCTCTGTATGGTACAAAATGTAAAATTGAAAATGCTTATATATAACGGCTGAATAATGATCTTGCTCCTCTATTCTTTATCCTTGATGAGCTCGGTTGCAATAGATGATCATGCTAAATGCTTAGTATATCACGACAAATTTGGTCATACCGTATTGTGGGCCAGCTGTGCAAAATCGTGCCGTTTCAGAAATTGAGGATGCTAGCTGTGTCTATGTCCATCCCACGGCCCCGCGTCTCACGTTAATTTCCCCTTCCGATCCTTCCGACAGCTGGGACCAGAGAAGCTGCTGAAGACCATGTTCGGCATCCGCGGCTTCAGTCGAGACTCCCTGACTGCTTCCTATGCCAGGGTGAAGGCGCAGATCAAGGCAGGAGGTGGCCGGCTCAGCTTCCCCGAGAGGAGGTAAGAGGGGTCACCGGGGGTCAGAGGAGTCACTGGGGGGTCACAAAGAGATGAGAGGGTTCACTGGAAAGTCATAGTGGTCACCGGGAGTCGGAAGGTTTCTGGGAGATCAGAGGGGTCATCTGAGGTCATAGGGGTCAGTGGGAGGTCAGAGGGTCGCCAGGAGGTCGGAGGATCACCGGGATGTCTGAGGGGTCGCTGTGAGGTCGCAAAGGTTACTTATAGAGTAGGATGGCCAGTGGTCACCGCTGAATTCAATACACCAACTGGAGACTGGCCTGTAGCGACTGACCGCCCGCCATCCCCCGCCAGGTGCAACCGCACCTTCTCCAAGCAGCAGTCGAACGCCGGCGGACTGGGAATGCCCAGTGTCATGTCTCAGGACGAACTGGCTGAGGCTTCCAGCACCATCGGAGTCAAGGAGGTGAGTCCGGGCCGCCGGCCTGGTGATGGTGTGTGTTGATTGGTGATCGTCCGGGCGTGTTGGTGATGACCGTCCTGTGCTGATATGTGGTGACTGTGGTGAAGGAAGCGTGTCGTGACTGGCTGTAAGGTGACTGATGACGGGATGCCTCCCGGTGTGGGTGTGCTACTGATGCATGGTCCGATTATAATACGGGAACGGTGATGGCTCGTTCGTTCGTTCGTTCATGTACTCACGTTAATCCGCCTTCGCGGCTTTTCATTAACGTAATGTCACAGGTATAAAAATGGTACGGATACTGAGCAAGCGCACAATCATTAACACGTTTTAAAAACAAATTGCGTATGCGAGCGACAGCTTCAGTCAGGCGGACTGCTTTTGCAATAACAATGTCCTCAGTGCTCGTTTGAATGAGACTCTGCCATCGTAAACAGCACACATTGGGTAGAATGCCTCTAGACCTCCGTACACCAGCTGTCTCCTACCCGCCTCGGTACGTATTCTCGGGAGCCGTAATCGACCAGCGTTCCGCGTGTCGTGACCATGGTCGGCAGCATAGGCGGCGGAACGGGGGGGGCACCGGGGCACCGTGCCCCCCCTTGAATTCTGCAAGGGGGGCACCAATAGCAAGGTGCCCCCCCTTAAATTTGATGTATTAGTACTAGGGGCAGATTCGGGGAAAACTCCAAGGGGAGGGCCATGAATCGTTAAGTGGTGTCCCTACCTATGCCCAAAATTAAAACCTCAACGGATTTCGGCCACTTAATTTTGGTGGTGCCCTATTTTCAGTTTTTTTTTTATTTTCTTTATTTTTGGTTAGTCATGTGATGACTGGTGCCCCTGCACCTGCTAGGCCACTGATGCCCCTGGAAAGACTGTGGTACCTACCTACCCTGCCCCCTGACAAGCCTACGGTGGGCCCTGACATGACTTAGGTGCCCATGGGCCCTGACAGGCCTGTGGTGTCCTTGCTAAGCCTGTGGTGTCCCTGGGCCTTGGCAGGTTTGTGGTGCCCCTGTTAGAACGCAGGTGCCCTTGACAGGTTTGTGGTGCCTCTGACAATCCTAAATTGCCAACGACAGGCTTGTGGTGCCCTTGACAGGTCCATGGTGCCCTTGCGAGGCCGGTGGTTCCCCTGCGAATCCGATAGTGCCCCTGGCAGGTCTGTGGTGCCCCTGGAAGACCTGTAGTGCTTTTGCTAGGCCGATGGTGCTCCTGACAGGCCTGTGGTGCCACTGACAGGCCCGTGGTGCCCCTGCTAGGCCTATGGTACCCCTGGCGGGCCTGTGGTGCCCCTGTCGGCTGTCAGGCCTGTGGTGCTCCTGGCAGGCATGTGGTGACCCCAGGCCCTAAGTCATGACCCATGTGACCTCCACCCTGGGATTCGCCACTGATTAGTACCATGCGATGGCTTCTTGGTAATTTGTTACATGTAGGATTAATGGAATTTATCAAACGAGAATAAGGAAGAGACAAACACATAGGTACTTGGGGATCAGCTTAAAGTTAACCACACATACGGGCAGGGGTGTAATTTTCCTAAAATGATTGTGGGTGCCCAGCTGTAGGGGCGCCCGGCGCCAGGCCGTTTTGGGGCGCGATAGATATTCTTTATGTGGGAGCCTAAATTAACACCGAATTTGATAACATTGCTAGCCGAATGGCGCTTCAAGTGACGTGTCTGACTAAGCAAATACACGCTTAAAAGTGGAAACTGACCGGAAGGACGTAAAAAGCTGTAGAGGGCGCCATCCAGTAGGAGGGGCACCAAATGTGGAGGCACCAGACGGTTACGACTTACGAGGGCGCCGTGAGACGATGAAAAGGGCGCCATTCTCTTGAGAGGGCGCCGAGTGATTGAAAACGCTATGTGGTCCAGGGGCGCTAAGACGCCAGAAGGGCGCCGCACAGTCAGTAGTGCTACGTTGGTGGGGACGTGGGGACGCCAGATGGTTACGAGGGCGCATTGAGATCATGAAAAGGGCGCCATTCTCGTAAAAGGATGCCGAGTGATTGAAAACGCTATATGTGGTTCAGGGGCGCTGAGAGGCCAGAAGGGCGCCGAACAGTCGAGGGATGCACGGTGAACAGAGACCTAAGGACGCGAGACGGTCAGGAGGGCGCCGTTAGACCATGAGAATGGCGCGGTGCTGTCAAAAGTGCGCCATTCTCCCAGAAGGGCGCCGAGTGATTAAAAACGCTATATTATCCATGAACGCGAGACGGTCAGGAGGACGCCGTTAGAGCATGCGAAGGGCACCGTACTCTCGAAAGGACGCTTGCAGCCTTGTAAAAGACTTGTGGGTGCATTTTCATCATCGTGTGGGCATACATAATTCAGGATTGTGGGTGCATATGCCCCCACAAAGAGATATAAAATTACACCCCTGCATACGGGGGTGAACTGCCATTTTCGTTTAGTAAAAAATAAAATTAAAAAAAAAATCATCGTGTCAGGCTGTGACGAAAAATAAGTGGCCTAAATCCGATGAGAAAACAGGATTTGGGGGTACCCTAGGTTTGGCTCCTTGAGCCATGGTGCCCCCCCTTGTCTCAAATCGTTCCGCCGCCTATGGTCGGCAGCACTCGCCAAGGTACTCGCGATTTCCTCAGGGTGACCTGAGTCCACCATAAGCCGCACGCTGCACATTTTATGTTACAGTACCAGGCTATCTGCGGTCATCCATCGTAACTCGCACAACACATCAAATATATGGTCTCGCTTGCGCCGCCCGCTGATCACACGTGCGCAAAAAAAAATAGCACTTTGAAGCCTGCGCCGCTCGGTAGCACTGCGGGTGCCGTACACGGAAAGACAATAGCGCAGCGATGACACCACCAAAGAAGTCACAATCGGTTTCATAGTACTAGTGGGCGGTACATGTCTAGCTTGGTTTAAGGCTAGCAGTAATCCAGTACAATTCGAAACTACATGGCTGACATGTCTACCAAAAGTCAAATGTTTGTCCATGACCACCAATGTTTGTCAAAACACTTTTTACCAGGAATTTTACCAGGAATTACAAAGCGGCGCAGTTACTGAAGCTGCGTTATCTGTTAAGGTTGCTCGCCTTCATTCAATGCGACTTTTATCGCTCGTATAAAAGTCGTATTCAATTAAAAGTCTTATATTTCCTTGACCAAACACAGCATCGAGCGCTGCGCGATGCTGTTTGTCTGTAATTTCACTGTTTGTCTATAATTCGATAGTGTCCGCTGTCTATAATTCCCTACCACACGTCCTTGCGATCATACTGACATTTCATTAATTGCCTCTGTTATGTTTCTGTTTGGTGTCGGTGCGCTTCCCCCCCCCCCTCACCGGGTACGTGTGTGTCTGGTGACGGCTCTACCCCGCCCCTTCCCTCCATCGAGGGGCACTCTAACCATTGCATATCTGTCCGCAAGCGTTCGGCTAAGTTCCCCCATCTGAAGAAGCCCGAATCTACACTCATGAGTTACGAGGAAGTGAGTAACCGGTGATGTAGTCGTAGCATGTTGGCTCACCGTAGCGGTGTATTCTGGCCGTGTATACCGCTGACAAAGCGGACTGATGGCGAATGAGAAGGCCGGCCTAGTGCTGCCGGTCTTGCGGCTAGCTCGCCGCCGTGGCACACTAGCACGGTCTGCTCCGAGCTTCGGAGCACACCGAACCCAGCCGGCCGCGTAGATTTGCCTGATTTGCTGCTACGCAAGAATTGTTTTCCCTCGCCGTTTTGTTTTATACTGCTTTTATGTCGTATTTCATACGCATAGATTAGAGTGTGCTATAATTTTTATTTGATTTTTTATGCATTTGCAAGTAACGGAAGTCGGCAGCCTTCCCAGTACCTGGGTGCCTCGTTTGGATAGTTTTACAAAGTGTGTATGGCGCTGTTCAAACACTTGCCTTGACATATGCATTGACCTGCTGTTTCGTGTGCATGCGTTGTGGACATTAGGCAGCGCCTTGCATGTGCTTGCGTATGACTTGTTAATACCTACCGTTCGCTCGCAGCACGCTTGATTATTAAACTTGCCGAACTTTACCGTCGGCACCATCGGTAATTGCAGCGTTTGACCCTTGCCATTTCTTTTAAGTATTTCGATCTGCCATATGGGTTTTCCCCTTATCGAAGTACCTACCCTGTCTGTATAAGATATAATACTTTATTTTATTTTTAAGGTGTCTGGCATGTATGAATATTGTTCGTGAATTGTAAGTTTTAACATTGTACTTCATTATGTTAATCCATTCATTTGTGACACTTTGCTGACTATTCAGTTGAGTTGACAATGGCTCCATTGTTTCTATATTTGCTTTTGATAAACTTCATTAGTATTCCATTCGCTGAGTGCGGTAGCTGCACCCCGCTACTACGCCGGCTGATGCCGTGTACGAACCTCGTGTCCGTGTATGCCGTGTGTGCGGTGTGCCGGTCAGTGACACCTCCCTGCCGCAGCTGCTGCGTCTATGGGAGAACCTGCCGGCGCGCTACGCCCTGTACACTCCTCTGCTTATCTACACGACCGACGAGCACGGCTTCTCGCTGAAGACGTTCTACCAGAAGGTGGCCACGTTCGAGCCGACGGTGCTGCTGCTGCGCACCACAGAGGGGGCCGTGTTCGGCGCCTACTGCTCCGTCACCTGGAACATGCGCAATGAGACGCAGGAGGACGGCACCCGACAGCGCTACTTCGGCACCGGTCAGTGAGAGTCGGCCAAAGCTGAGCACCGATTGCGACTAACCGACTCGTAGCAAAATATTTACACTGCAATGTGAACGTTCATGTTTAATAAGTTTTTCCTTGTTCAAACTGCCGTGCATGATTTGTTTTGAATTCAGTAATATGTATGTTATTCCGCTTTCGTTTCCCTGGTGCAGCTTGCGTCTAAGCTCGATACAGTAACCCACGCTGACGCAGTAAGGTTTGTCGTTTTACCCTCGCTGTGTTCTGCGCCAGTGACAGCCGTCACAGCCGTCAGCTGCTAACCTGCGTCCTGCCCGTCTCCGACAGGTGAGACGTTCCTGTTCACGCTGCGGCCCCAGCTGAAGGTGTACCCGTGGGTGGGTAAGGTGCGGCAGGCAGAGGACCCCGAGCTGGCCGGTCTCTCTCACTCCGAACAACTCTTCATGGCTGCCGACAACACCATGGTAACGATCGGCGGCGGCGGCGGACAGGCCATCTGGCTCGACGAGAATCTAGCCCGCGGCAAGACGGACGCGTGCCAGACGTTCGCCAACCCGCCGCTGACGTCAACTGGCAGTTTTGAGGTGGCCTGCATGGAGGCTTTCGCCTTCTCTCCTGCCTGAACGGGCGGTGGCTTGGCCGAATCAGGCCGGGACGGGACGAGAGGGGACCTCCGCTTGCCATGGAGCAACCAGGTGTGGCAGGGGAGAGATACGAGAAGTCAGGTTGAGAAGGTAGAGGTCTCTTGTGTTCCGAGCCCGATGAGATCCCTTGGCGTTGCGCATCCCGACTCGGGAAAGCGCATACTGGTCTTGGTGTCCTTGTCTTTTTCTTTGGGTAGTTTGAGTGATTCGGTTGTCAGGATTTAGCCTGAATCGGCGGCTGGGAGACACTGCATGAGGACGTGGCTGGGAGAAGAGGGAATAAGCGTTATGTTAGATGTTTATTAAGAATTGGAAATCGTGACTGTGAATAATCACAATCGAATTTACAAACCTAGACTAGACTGTAGACATTTACGCGCTAGATATGAATGATACGTTGTGTAGTTTTAGCGTTGTGACTTGGTCTGTATTGCCTTGAGTATTTATATCTTTATATTAGGATGTGTTTAAGTGTCCGAAAGTACATTCCAGGCATTATCGTAGGCTGGGACATCAACAATGTGTAATGTGTAGGTTATCCGCCGCCCAAAAGGCATGAACCTGAAATTTTTCCCAAATAAGTGTCGCGATAGTTTGTCATAGCTGAGATATTTACTGGATGGGACGAAATCGTCACTATTTGTCCCTGATCACTGGGGTGTCGCTGAAATCTAAGCACGTGGCGGCGGAAGGCGGTCAGGGCTCGTCGCCGTATTGTGACCGTGCGTCCGGGAAAGACTACACCTTCTTGTAGCACCAGTGTCCTTTCGGCCACTGAGTCCCGGTCCGGAACCGAGCAATAACGTCTGGCTGGAGACGAGTGCATTCGGAAAGCGAGTGTGTCCCTGTCTTCCGGGGGCCGACGTCCAACGCCCTCCCTGCGACCCGTGAACGCCCTTAAAACCGCCTGTGTGTAGTGCCATCAGCTTAGTGTGTGTGTTTTTGCCGTGAGTTGTCCTTCATTGTCTGTATTTGCTTGTTGAGCTGACGTAACTATTGTAATTGTCGCTTCTCGGTGGATGTCGGTAGTGTTTGTCCAGACTGAGTACCTAACCATAGTGCAGGGTGTGACCGATGGGGCGGACGACCCTAATCAGACCACCATGGATATTATAGCGCGGCGGCGACTGTGCGCACGGTGTCTGGGTGTGCCCAGACCGGGCTCTGTTGGTTTGGCAGCTAGTGACCCACCCCGGTGGCTGTGAGTCGGAATGGGAGGGCTGCCGACCGTCTCGGCGCCGTAGTGCAGCCCTCGGGCTTTTGCCGCTTTTTTGACGTGGCCCTGATCCGATCTCATAAGCCGTGTTTTGTTGCGCTGACCTCTGTGGCTCTAGCCGCTCAGCTCTGTCGCCTTCGGGCGACCCCAACGGCACGGGTCTACCCGCTATTGGCACGCGGGGCGGGGCGGACTTGTGTTCAGTTGACCTTATTGACCGGTGACCTGTGTACAAACGCAGACTGCATGAGCTGACCGCTTGTCCTGGTAGCTGTCTGGAAGTCCTGGTGTCAGCCGGGACCCACTATTCCCAATACATACCAATGTGTGCTTAGTTGTGGACATGGCCCGTCTTACATGGTAGTTTTCTGACCGGGAGGGGCAGTCGCCTCAGGCGACGACCCCGGCCGCCGTGTGGTAACAACCGTTACCTGTTACCCTGGGAGACCCCGATGGCGCTGCACTCTCCTGGTTGTCTATCCGTCACAAGGGGAACACCGCTGGGCAAGTCTTAGTGTGTCCACTCGGTTAATTGAGGCGAGCGTCCGCGATACGGTGTGTGTTTGGGACCCGGATAGGACGATGAACTAGTGGACCCGCGTGGACAATAACCCTGATCGAGTAATGGCTTTTATTGTGCGATGTCGTGTAACACTACGGGCCATATTGTGTTCGTATTATTATTTCGCAGGCTTCTTTTCTGTTGCGGTTTATTTCCACAAAACTTGACTTTGCTCGAAGACACTTCCAGACTGGTACGCCCATACAGCTTGATGTCAAGTGCAAAGTGCTAGTCTAATAATCGTGGAATAAATACTCAGCAGAAACTATGTGTTGTTCAGAGAAGCGTAGACTGACTAGTGACCGTTTCGTGTCAGTAAAACTGTCGTGCGCCTACGAATATGACTACTTCAAGCTAGGGAGCCTGCCTGGATACCTTGTGGCTTGTGGGCTGTCGAGCGGCTCGGGGTTACGACCGCGTTTGGTAGCACCCACGCCCGGTCGACATCCAACGGGCAGAGCTGCGCATTGCTTGTGCGACGAGTTGATGTGCACTGACATGGGTGCACAAGGAAAAGTCAATGACGGGTATAAGTTACGGGATGAATGTCGCTGGTTTCGTTGAGCCTCACGAGGTAGATCGACCTGACTCCTGAGGCCCAGTCCCAGTCGGGCCAACGGCCACCAGGGGCCGTATTCACGTCGACTTCGTAAGTCGATTTTCTTTCGTAAGTATAATTTGGTATTCACGTCGACACTTCTTAAGTTTTTATCGACGGAGTTCACGTGAATAAAAAATTTGCTTAAGGAGTAGGTCAAACTTAAGAAAATTCTTACGAAAATGATCGACGTGAATACGGCCCCAGGTCTTGTTGGTTGACATCACGACTTCGCGTTCCCTTGCCCGCGCTACGCCACACTCCGAGCTGGCGCCTGGTCTTACGCCCAGGAGCCACCTCTGCTACATACTCCCGCGGGGGCGCTACACTTCGCTGTGCAGCTGCCGTCTGCGTTTCGGAGATCTGACTCTGGAGATCAGCAGTTCCAGCGCCAGGATGACTAGGCTGAGGGCGACTCCGAGAGGGACGAGACACAGGAAGGCCAACAGGTTGCCAAATGACAGCTCTCGGTATCCTGCCTGCGAGCCGCACTCGGCCCGTCCTGTGGATCGTGCAGAGCTCTTGAGACGCAATAGTGTACCCGTCTCATGCAACTTCAGCAGTGTAGTAGTAATGACCTGCTTGAGAGCACATCGATTTTTTGCCATTGACAGATAGACTGGATTGGGTTTGACCGGTGAACTTTGTAATGGGATGAAGTTACAGGCCTCGTCACCGATGAAGTGATGCAGGAGGCTTAAATCAAAGAAGGCCATGACCTGTGGCTGGAAGGCTTGTAGCATGCTCTTCTCCGTCTTGTATATCGAGATGAACCTGTCGCCGGTCGTAGAGCGTCGGTACAGCTCGCGCTCGAAGCTGTCGCGGCTCGATCTGAGTTTGTTCAGTTTCTGCGAACCGACGGGTATTGCCAGAGTCCAGTCGGGCTGTTGGACGAATTCGCGCACGCTGTTGATGGGCCGACCGGCGGTGTGCGTCGTTAGAAAGGACATCAAGTTGGCCGTGTAATTGACGTAGATCAGGATTGCCATCATCCAGCCAAAGATGGTGACAGTGCGTCCAGCCAGCGACCGCGGCGTCCTGTCCCAGCCCTGTCCTAACACAGTCATGGTCATGGCAAGCAGACACGAGCCCCAGCCCATGTCGCGCACCAGCCGGCCGTCCTCGGCTCTGGCGCTGTTGAACCGCAGCGAGAGGCGCAGCACCAGCGAGAGCGCCAGCAGCGCGGCGGCCAGCGTCCACCAGACGTCGGCGCCCAGCGGCCGCAGCAGGCTGGCGAACATCGCTAGCGACAGGCTCGGCGCCGCCTCTGAGTCCCTCCGCACCAGAAACGTGGTGCTCTCGGACCCCATGGGCACCCCGTCCAGGAAGTCGACCACAGCAGCCCGCTCCGGAGTGGGGTTCAGCAGTGTGAGCGCCACGTCGGCGCGCCCGTAGACCAGGTCGCCCACCACGCCGGTCCAGGTGCCGTTTGAGCTCAGACTGCCGTATCCGGGACTGAGCGGAGCGGACATCCGGTAGCTGAGACCAAGCTCGTCGGCTACGATCTGCCACAGCTGGAACAGGTAGCCACTGTAGGTGACAGAGCCATTTGGGTGCTGCTGTGCGTAGATGCTCGGTGGGTCGTGGATGGTGACGACTCGCAGAGGCACGTCCGACGTGTTCACGAAGGGACGCCGCACCGCCGACCATTCCGTTCCCAGCAGGGTCAGACGGCCACGGCGCTCCATCGCAGCGGCCCAGGAGGTCGGCTCGTCAGTGACCGCAGCCGACTGAGCCGGGCCGCGGACGGGACCCAACTACCATCGCCCGGAGGCGCCGTGTGGTCGATTCGTCGGCATTAGGAGCGCGTATATATAGTCATTAGGTACTAAGGGGCGCAACGACGTAGCTGTGCGCACTGCGCAGTGTTCATCTCTCTCTTTACAGCGGCCTATATATGATAACCCGATGGAACGAGTTGATATGGCGTTGCGCGATTAGCTTATGATATCGGGGAGAGCCTTCAGTTTTCAAAAGGGCATCGCACAGATCAGTCAATCACACTTGGCAAGACTTGCCCACCAAAAGACATCACTGCTGCACAAAGTTTCGGTTTTTACAGAATTTTTACATTATGTTTTGAATAAGTGTTAGTTTGAACGTCTATTTGGGGGGGGGGGGAAATATTTCAAACATGACTTTTGACAGTGATTTAGGCTGGCCATGGTCTTTTGAGCAGTGAATTAGTGTAACACTTTTTACATATACGACGTGCCTGTGACAAATTTTATTATTGACTTCTTGGTGCACGTTAGGGTGCACGTTTTCATGTTTCCTAGCTTGGTTTCCTAAATATTTTGACGGGGTACCCGAGACAGTTTGCGAATTGCAGGACACTAAATATTTTGAAGTTTACGCAAGGCTGTTTTTATGAATGTTTAATTCATTTATGGACACTTACTAGTCACTCAAAGGAGGGCACTGAACGAATGTGGGTGCATGCAGCATGTGTAAGTTATGAAGTTTTGCACACATTCAAATTTCCTATGCATCCATTCCATTGTTTTGTCTCCAATTGTTTGATCTGAGCCTATATACAGCCTTGGATCTGAGCCCTGAGAGGGCTGCTCACGGGCACCACACACACTGAGTGTGGTGTGTGCCTTGTGTGGTTATATGGCCTTGGTGTGTGCAGCAGACATGGGGGTAGGAGCAGTAGGGGATGGGTAGTCAGTATGCCACATGGATCACGGTTGTGTGCGGTGGACTGCACACATGACACAGCCATCCCTGTGTGGCCGGTCCCGACGGACCTCAGCGGTCGCTGTGTGCGATGATGGATTATGGAAGACGCAGTGGGCGGAGCTTGGAGCCTGTGTACGTATCTACCTCACAAAGAGCACGTGAGGCATGAACAGCCCTCATGTATCAGTTTGAGTTGGAGTCATGGCAGGCAGGCAGCTGGGGGCCCTGTTTCACAGCTTTCAGTTTCCTTCTGACCAGGCATTGGCAGTTGACACTTCAGTGTCCAGGGAAATATAGCTTGTTAGAGAATAGAGACTTATTAAATGGTGTTCAATAATGTTCATATCTGTTTTGATGTATGTTATTCTTATTACAGGGAGAAGGATTGGACATTTTGACATGATTACTTTTTAATATTTGTATTGAAGTTCTGAAGCTCTGAGGTACCTTCCCAAGAACTGTATTGTATCAATAATGAAAGCTAAAGCAACACCACAAAGTCCTCTGAAACCTGTCAAAAAAGGCAACATGAGAAGGAAGCTGGGCATTGACAACAGGACCACTGCAGACCAAGATGGTAGTCCTGACAGTTGCTCAAATGCTGGAAATGGCACAACTATTCAGAAAAATGTAAAACGAAAACAAACTGTGAATCACAAGCGCAAAAGGGCCGCAGTATCCCATCCTAATGAGGATAGAAGCTGTGGTGGGTTGGTAGCTATCAGTCAAGATGCAGATATCTCTGGTGAGAAGTCCACATTGCAATGTCCACAGCAAGCTGTACCACCAGATCATCCGTCACATTCTGTCTCGGAGGCTTTGGTGAAACTTGTGTCAGCAGTGAAAGATCTCTTCAAGCAGGTTAGTTATTGGAATGTTTAATGTGTTTCTCCACTTCTTACAGCCAGACAATCAAATTTTGATCAACATGTTTTGCTGTAGTTTCTTACAATGTTTTGAATACCACAGTTCATGTTCTGTTTCAATTTTGACTGGTAATATCAACTTCCAAAAGCTCATATTCACATCATAGATAATTAATCATGAAGTTATTAAAAGAATCTGATTTTGCCTCTTGTATTATTCAGTTCAAAGGCTGCTCAGTGTCAGCTGACCTTGTTCTTGCCTAGTACTAATTTCAAACACTTATATCTTCCTTTCCACAGCATAGTCTACAATCAATGGTGGAGTTCAATATTCACATTCCGAGCAAGTCAGATGTGACCTTCCAACCAAAGTGTGAAGATTTGTCTGAGGTTCAGAAGAGCTTGCAGCATCTTTGTTTATGTCTGCAGGTGAGGGCCATTTACTTTTGGGTATTTTAATGGGGAAAATGGAAATCGTGGGACTTTCTTAGCTTGTTAATATACCTTTCCAAGATAGAATGAGCATTTAACATCGGTGAATTACATGAAGTCTTCTAATATAGTGCTCTAAAATAATTACAACAATCTAAGTTTGGTGCATAATAATGTGCAATAATCAGTAATCATAATGCATCGATTGAAGCAATCATCATTGCATTCAGAAGTTTTGACAGCTTTGACTTTGGACTGCCACTCTGGTACTCAAACTGGCATTTCCTGCATATTCTTTTATCACTTGAAACTCGTGTTTACAGGACCTCCAGAGCCTGGTTGATTTGGAACTAGCAGCTGCTGAAGCACAGGTCAAAGCACATGCATTGTTGCCAGGTAATAAGTATAATCAATTTTTGTTTATCAACATCATGCAATCATGCATTGTTGACCATTGATCATTGAACAATGCTGATCATTGATCAGCATAACAACATCATGTTTTTACTATCAGTTTATCGACATCATTTTCGTTTATCGACCTGCTTGCCGACTGTTACAGGTCAAAAGCCAATTGCATCGGAGCCTTATGACAATAATTTGTTGCTCTTAGACTACCTCACTCACTGGTTGTCAGAAATGGATTATCACAGAGAATATCGGTGCCAGCCAGACCCGACGAGTGTTTCCTGTTCCCAGCAGCGCCCACACCGTCAGTGGCTCAGCCAGTTGCCGAGGACACCGCCGTAGCTGAGCGCGAGCTGTCGCCGCCGGCTGAGGAGACGGAGGACGACCCCGACTGGTCCGCTCCGTCCGACCACGAGGAGGAGGGAGAGGGAGAGGAGGAGGACGGGCCCGAGCCCCCGCCCGCCGCCGGTCGCCGAGCCGCCCGTCCCGCCGCCACGGAGCAGGCGTTCGTCTGTACCAGCGCCGGCTGCGAGCAGAAGTTAGTATATTTCCCGGTCTGCGCCTGTGATAGGGTGGATTCAGGACAGCACGGTAGGGCTATGCTAGCAACTGATTGTAGGTCTTTGTTTGGTCGTCGCTCGTATTTGAAGAAGACCCACCTTCAATTTGATTGCTCGATTCCAGCATAGGTAGTTGCTTTAGTCACCGGTCACCATCATACAACCAAAACGGTTAGGCTTTTGTCCATAGAAGGTTTCCGTTGATTGGACCATTACTTGGCTATGAAAGATGGCGACATTTACTACCATGACTGTCAGAGCCAGACCGCTATTACCAGATTTTTCATTACTCTAATCTATATCCGTTTGGTGCATTCATTGCTTACGAGTCTCGTTGGACTCAATCGAATAATGCTATAAGGTACGTCATAAACGCGAGCTACATGAATTAGCTGTGGCCTGTTGGCAAAGAATCTTTTGATTGCCTGCCCCACGACCCTTGCTCTAACACCACCCGTGCTCGCCTCACCCTCTTAACACCGAACACGGGCCGTGTTACTATCAGTTTATCGTGTTCCCTCTAACATGACCCGTGTTGCTGCAGGAGCGGCGTTCCGCGCCGGTTCGCCTCGGAGAAGAGTCTGCGTATGCACCGTGTGGCGTGCCACGGTGAGAAGATGTCCAGCCGCCGGTACCACGAGTACACCTGTCCGCTGTGTGGCAGCGTGCAGAAACGACCGCGAGAGCTGGCCGCACATATTGTGGTGAGTGAAACTGGAGGGAGAGGGATATGGAGTGGGGAGATGGGGGCGCCCAGAATCTGTAGAGGGGAGATAAAGTTGATTGTGAGGAACTTGGTATTGTGTGGTCACTGGTTAGTCAGCTGCGCGAATTATAGCTGTAACGGTAATATATCGGTCAATAACTACTTGCCGGATTCAAAAGTCGATTGACGAATTGAAAGAGAACTTAACGATAACATGAAACGTGGCATCCACAATCGCCTAACGTGTCTGCGTGACCACATCACTGTGTATGTGGGAACCCTGCGAGTATTACTTCTCCTTCTTGCCCTCTGTCTGATGCATATTTTATGGTGCGTTGCTGACTATGTCCTGGTGACTGTCTGGTGTCTGGTGTTAGGTATTTTTGGTGTTGTCGTTGACTTCCCGATGTAATTGGTGTTAACTGGTGGATGGTGTCGTCGACAGACATGTCAGGGCAGGGGCGAGGTGGCCGCGCCGCCGGCCGCCGACGGTGCCGATCCGGCGGCCGGCGCGGACGGCTCCCAGTTCATCATGTGTCGGCTGTGTCACCTGTGCTTCCCGACCGGAGACATGCTGCGGGCGCACAGCTGCCAGTACGGGGACTCCGGAGGTGTCATACAGGTCAGTACCGCGTACAGTTGCGGGCCCACGGCTGCAGCCAGTACGAGGATTGTTTAAAAGGTCGTCATTCGTCAACCGTCCATTTTTTAGCTTGTGTACTGGTACACCCGCGAAGCCAGGCACTGAACTCGGTTACAGGGTTTAGGCATACCGTGCACAGCTGTGTATCATGACAGCTGACCAGCCCCGTTACGGTGCTTTCTCCGTTGGCATAAGGTTAGTCCCCTAACCCTTCCCCCCTTCCCCCTCCTCCGCCTTCAGGAGCTGCTCGGTACCGGCACCCTGTCGATCAGCGGCGCCGAGCTGGCGACTCTGCGCCGCTTCATCTGCTACCAGTGCCGCGAGGAGTTCCGCAACCAGACCATCTACCGCGTGCACCTGCAGTTCTGCCGGCCGCCGCCGTATGCGTGTGAACTGTGCGGCGTGGAACTGCCCTGCGGCCGCCGACTGGTCATGCACAAAATGAGCGAGCACAGGTGCGTGACATCGGATGGAGCTTTGCATAATTGGGAGGGAATGTCAACTTTCATAGGCGATCCAGTTTTGGCATTGTGTTTTTGTCCACCTCTTACCTAGCGAAAGATATCGGAAGCCACCTCTTACCTAGCGAAAGATATCGGAAGCCAAGTCATGTGTCTTCTTTTCTCTCCAGTAAGTCAAATCGGCCGATGTTCTTCTGTCGCGCGGATGGCTGCGGGCTATCGTTCCGACGAAATGCCGCTCTTCAGAAGCACATGATACAGCGCCACTCTAACCAGCCGACCGGGCAGCCGTATGGCTGTGACGTGTGCGACAAAAAGTTCATCAAGAAGATCTACCTGACACACCACAAGCTGCGCTACCACCACGATACGCTGCAGAGGGACTTTGTGTGCGATGTGAGTAGAGAATGCTGGTAGATGGGAGGATTAGACGCTTATCAGACAAAGGAAAGTAGCTAGACACGATTGACGGTGCTGATTTTGAGTTGTAGGAACCATCATTTTTGCCAATTGATTGTGATAATGCATGATTACTGCAACTACTGCACTGGAACTGCATGTTCATAAGTCTAATTCATGTCCAAAGTATATGCTCTTACTTTTTTTCTTTATCACTACTTGCTATATTTGTCGTCATTGGCAATGTCTCGTCACCACGGTTAAGTGGGATGACGACGTCGGGTACCCTATACAATATTGCCTCCGCTGCACTCTGACGTGGCGATTTTAGCGGCAGCCGCCTTTATGCGCCATCCCTACTGACAGTCCTCCTCTCGGCAGGTATGCGGCGCCCGGCTCGGCTCCAGCAGCGCTCTCACCGTTCACGTGCGCTCGGTGCACGCGCGGCCCGAGCACACGTGCCACGTGTGCGGCAAGGTGTTCTCGCGGCCCGACCGGCTGGCCATTCACGCCAAAATACACACTGGTGAGTGGCGGACGGGAAACGGGCTGCCGATTCGGGCTGGGCAACCTCGTTCGAAGTTACGCAATGCTGTAGTTTCTGCGAAGTTTTTTTTTTCAATAGTGCTGCTCTTCAGCATACTTTCACTGTTACAATTCAAGTTGTAATTATGTATTTTGTTTCATACTCACTGTCAGCTCGTCAACATGTCTTTTGCGTCGCCTGCAACGTATCAAATCCTCCCCTACCGCTAATCTGACCGTCCCCCATTGCCCCCGCCAGGCGTGAAGCCGTACAAGTGCACCCTGTGTCCGAAGGCATTCATCCAGCAGTGTAAACTGAACGACCACCTCCGCCGTCACCGGGGCGAGCGGCGCTTCCGCTGCGTCATGTGCGACAAGGTGTACGCGGCCAGCCATGACCTGCGCTCCCACCTGCGGTGAGTGTTTTCATGAGCGCTCCGTCAGCGCCGTGCTGAACAATCTTACGAAATGGGCAGTGAAAGAAGGTCTTAATTTGTTAGAGTGTTTCAGAGAATAGGCAATTGATTTGTATTGTAACTGCGCGGCCGACTACCTGGAATATTGCTGAATGCTAACCCTGCTCGTAAAAGTGGACACCAACATATCCTCACGCCCAGTTTCTTCTGTCACTTTTTTGTCATATAATGGGGTGTACCAAAAAGTTAACCCACGAAAATTTAAATAAAATATTTTCTCAGGATGCATCTTAGTTTTTACACATCGGTATCAAAAGCTGCTGAGTGTCTATTGTGCTATTTTGATCAAAATTGGTTTATTTTTGCCGTTGTAGATGCACTCCGAAGAAATGGCCGAAAATCGTCATAACTGTGATTTCGCTCATGTAGGTAAAATTCAATGGACATCATCGATAGTTCTTCCAACAAATACCCCCTGCCACCCACTCACACACACACTCCATTATGTTTCAGTCCGACGATAAACAAAAACCATTGCATCAACAGAGCTGTGCAGTGCTTCACCGCTATCGTAGAACCTGAGGTGCTTGAGATGTTGTCCACATCTGTTAAGACATACGCGATTGCGTGATTTGGTGCGTTTTGGCTAAAGGTTTCACACTGCGTTTTGACGATTAAGACAAGCACGAACAAGAAATCGATCTTCGATGAACCTTACCTTACCTTACCTTAATTTGATCGGAATTTAGAGGCCACTTGGCCTGTAGGGAACCGTTCTCATCGAGCTCTTGACGTATTTGACCTTTCTAACTCCTATCAGGTATCTTGTACCTGATGTTTGCCCAGTGGGCATCCAGTCTTATCGCAGTATTTGTGGGCTCGCAGTTTGCTTTCATTTATTTTATGCAGCTTAGAGTTATCCTACGGGTCAATGATTGGATATAACCACGGCTGAATTAAAAAGGACTTGATTCGGCTCCAAAATTGTACTATATTTCTAAAGTACCACCATTTGATGGCATATACTATCGATTCGCCAGAAACTTCATGTATTTGCTTCTCATAGCATTGTTAGAGCATCGTTAAGAACTCAGACGAGTTGAATAACAGTGGTCTCCGTTTGTATACAGACGGATACACAGCGTAGACATGGTGAACAAGACGCACACCATCCAGCCGGTGGCGTCTCTGCTCCGGCCGCTGCCGCCTCCGGAGCCGGAGCCTGAACCGGAGCCGGAGCCGGAGCCGGCGGTACAGGAGCCGGAGGGCGCGGAGCAGCAGCCGGAGCCGCCGCAGCACCAGCAGCTCTCCGCAGTGGTGCCCCAGACACTGCAGAGCGTACAGGTGGGCAGAGCACTCTGAAACAATCCTATTTGTATTTTTTGTGTACCTTTACTTCGCTGGTTTGTTAAAATAACTGAGTTGAGTTCAGAGCGACCGCGGTGGAGTCGAGGTGTTTTACCGTAAATTTTCACTACATGCGATTTTTTCGACATTATTTGAGGAAGGCCAACTCACGCCATGTCCGCAGCTTTGAGTTGTTACCTCTCGTCGTTCGTCGATGTGCGATACCACTTATGACTGGAATAGTCGAGTTTTCGTGTTTGAATGCTCTAAACGTCAAAATGCTTTATCTGCACATAACGGCCGGCGAGGTGCAAATTACTGGTGACGTCGAGTTGTGGCTGTTACCCTGACCTGTCCCGCTCGTGTGTTTCAGCTGCACTCTGTGCAGGTGACGGCGCCGACGCCAACCCTGCACGTGCAGGACCTGTCGCAGCTGGGCGGCGGTCTGATCCTGATCCCGGCAGTGGACGCCAGCGGTGGCACCTCCTTCTACCCCATCATCAACCAGTGAGACGACGGGCCGTCCACGGGGAGGTCATCATCAGCCAGTGGGAGTACGGGCCGTACACAGAGAGGCCACCTCCTTCTACCCCCATAATCCAGTGAGCCGACGGGCCGTTCACGAAGATGTCACCGTGTATCATCGTATTCATCAGCCAGTGAGCCGAGCCGTCCGACCGTCTGCCACAGATACGACCGTCCCTGCCTCTGCGTCGGGCGGGTCAGCCGTCAGCTCTACCGTATCATCATCATCAGCAGCATAAACGGCTGATTAGTGGCAGCGGTACATTATTATCAACAGCATGAGAACCTCATCATCACATCATGTGTTTTTTACGATTATTATAATGTCGATATCATGTGACCGTTATTTATTTCGTCCTCACACGTTATCCAAGCGACATGTGCCCATTTGATGGCAGCTATATAAGGTCAGCACTGGCACTGAGCTAAGTTCGTTTTTATATCTTGCATACGGACGGATGTCGTAACGAGGAAGGGAACAAATCATGTTTGTTGTTTTATTGACATGGATGTGATGCATTGCCATTTGTATTTTATTGCAGGTATGGCGAAAAGATTCATTTTGCATTCCGATTGTTCTTTCCGATTTTAGTGTCCCATCGGTATTTTTCGATCAGCCGACCGACGAGGCACCTTGTGGTGTTTCAATCTGCAGTCTTTCAACTGAATGTCATTGGCTTAGATAAGGAATTGGTGGTTTGTGCAGACATCAACGTGCCTGTTCCTCTGTTGGTTGTCCGTTGTGAACTGAACTAGAGAAATAATCATCTGAGATACGGTTTCACCCCGCAGCTTGTGAGTTTGAACTGATACGTTGTACGTTGAACCGGGGCATTGAACACATACGGTTGAACGGGGCCATTCGCCCTGATTCGGGAGGCCGTTTATACTCGTCTTACTTATTGGAGACTTTGTTTGCGCCGACTTTTTAATCATTTTGAATCATTTCAAGGCTGCATGAGCCGCGATGAGGAGCGGCCGACGATCACGACACGATCCGCATTGTGTACATGAAACGAAACAGACCTAGGCCATACAGTTCACACAAATATTCGTGACCGATGACAATAAGTGGTCGGAGTCCCAATAGCCTTGGGCTGATGGCCGGAAAATGACTGGATAATTTCCGTTCCCCGTCATCGAAATATTTGCCACTCTAATTCCGAATTATGACTGGAGAATCAAGGCGAAATATCCCGAATGACAGCTATGCTACGAAGAAAATGACGTAGACGGTGAGTTGAGTAGTAAAGTGATCGTGGGTGAGGTGTTGGTCATAGACTCATAATCGTAAATATATATATAAGTGAGGATATTTGACTTTTAAGATTTAGTGATACTAGTTCGACCTTCGTTTTCATAATAAATTCTAACATTTGACCTTTTTATGCATAGATATAAAAAAGTTTTTATGTTTTAGATGAACAAGACCAAAATCCATGCATTTTTTCCCGTGGCTCGATTGGTTTTTATTTATGACGTCATCGATCCAATATTTTCATTCTATTTACCGAATGTCACTAGCCGGCATCTTTTTCGCGGGATGCGCCGCATATTTACGTCTGGACAACGAGTTGCGGGGAAAAGTGCTGATTGTGTTGCAGTTTTAGGAGCCGGTGATTAGGCTGGATTTTTGGGTTACTTTTTCGTTCTGATTCATGTATTTCATAGTGTTTGGCTTTTGAATATTTTAGTTCTTCCAGATAAATATTACTTGCCTTACAACTTTTGTAAAAACGTTTCATTTTTTTTTATAAGCCGACGTTCAGAGTCCTAAAAATACATCAGCACTACAATCATTGTAAACAAACAAATGGAGCACCACTTGGCTCTGTTCCAAGGCCATTTTTAGTTTATCTGGTGGTTTTCTTGCTCTTGTACGTCGTTTTGTTGGATGTTTTGAATCCCTTAAGATTGACTTATATCATATTTAAGAAGCATGTTGACTGAAAACAATCTGAAGTACCCAGGAGGCTGACAGAGGTCCTGACTACTGAGCAATATCAATATCAAGTTGAACAAGTTATTAAATTTTGGTTGATAAACGCAAGGTGATCGGGCTCATATATCAGCAAGAAAAAGTAAAATTAAAAGAGCTTATTGTCCAAAAACAAGCTACAATATTGCAGACCTTGGAGCAATACTGAAGAGCACGCTGAGCAGGATCATGCCAGAAAATGTTGACTGATGAGCGCATATTGATGTATTGGTATGAATATTGAATGATAACTTACAACAGCAAGATAAATTAGTGCTAACTATCAAGTTAAAATCTAGAATGAATGGACTTGGGCAGTTTTACTATGCTTAGATGCTATGCAGATTGTAATGTGCATCAGGTACTCAGTGTCTGGCAAATGAAACATGCGATCATTCCGTTGCTACTGGAGTAGAAAGCTTGGATCACTAAATCCACTTTATGTTTATTTTGATTTTTGATGTTAATCATCATCACTGTATTTCTTGAAAAAAGGATTGTAGTAAAATTGTCAATGTGACAATCCATGCAACGATGTGATCATATTATGTGTTCATAGTCATTCGTGATAGTCATTATTGGTCCAATATACAATGGCAAAGCTCTCAGTCTCAGCGTTTCTTCCTGTGGATGGTCGGCAGTGACTCAGAGCTTAGAAGCAGGTATTAGCTTTCTTCACAGGGCTGGGATAAAAAGTACTGAGGGTCATCTTCCACCAAGGAACTCTACTTTGACATGGTATGAGATGTAGGCACAAGTAGGTAGGTGCTCAGTTCCTATAGTCAGTAGTGTATGTTTAGTCGGGTTAGCTTAGATTAGATTGTTAGTTTTTTAATTTGCCAAATGTCCATAAAAATGTGACCTGAGCAATGAGCATACCTGAACCTGACTAACCTGACAGCTGACCTAACCTCAATCATCACACATATTTGCAGCCTACCCAAGACCTGCATGGCAGTAGCACCCAGTTATAGGTAGGTACTCGCCCTAACTCAATCTTACCTGCTAACCTTCAACTTGCCAAAAGTTAGCTCACATTGCCAAGCTGCGTCCAGGGAAACAGTCAACTGAGGAACTGGCTCATTGGGTGGCTGGTGTGAGTCTGTGCATTTAAAGTGTTTTTTTCTCTGAAGCTGCTCTGCACTGCTGTATGTCATGTTAGATGCTCAGAAAATGTGGGAAATGATTACTAAGCTACTTTAATGCTTTGTTAATGCTCGAGACATGAACAAGTACAGATCCTGCAGGGTACAGCTATGAGTTAGGTGCTAGGTGAGTATGTTATGTGAATGTGCTGTTCCCTGTTTGACTGTAAGTATAAAAACAAGCACAGAGTCACAGTTATATTTAATCTCCACATAAACATACAACAAAACCGGCCATATAGTCTAACTCCGAACACACCACAGATAACTTAAGCCTTTGTAGGCACAAAAATGTTTTGATTAACAGGACAGGTTTACAATATATCCTCTGTCCTTGGGGGATCTTGCTGCCAAGTTCAGGTATGAATTATGATGACTGAACTTCAGGATTGATCAACCTTTTCTTAGCCACTGCTTATATACGAGAAAGACCAAATGCTTGTTTGTTTTGATTTACAGGACATGTATACAATATATCCTCTGTCCTTGGGGGATCTTGCTGCCAAGTTGAGGTACGATGACTGAACTTCAGGATTGATCAACCTTTTCTTAGCCACTGCTTATAAACGAGAAAGACCAAATGCTTGTTTGTAAACTGCGTTGAAAATTTAATGATCCACCTTCAATTCTGACATGAAGGCACAAATGAAATAGTTCCCTCTCCTTTTGGAATACACAAAGCAAAATAATTAATAAATTTTAGTGGATGGACAAGAGCAATTAGCATAGCTTCCCCTCAAGTTAACTTCTGGCACTGTTGATGAATTATACTGACGCTTATTCGCTTCATATTTTGTAACAAACGCGCTAAAACTGCAATATAACAGCACTATATGCTTCTTGGCAAAATGCAATAGTATTAAAAATTTAGCCCTGATGGCATTCATTCTTGGTGGAAACGTAATCACAAAATATTTTGTAGTAACTATTAAATTCCGGCCGAAAACAGTGCACGGTTTAAAAAAGAATCACTCCAATGACGGTCCATTCTTGCGGTCCTGAAATCGCCACTATTTCCGGCCTCTCCAACGCAACTCGTTGTCCAGACGTAAATATGCGGATGCGCCACGCGTTTGTGATTTTCAAATCAGTAGGCGGAACTGCGTATTTACAAATTGCAACCGAGCTCCGCCGTGGGGTAAGGTGGGCAGGGGTTTTCGCACTACGGCTGCGGTTGAACTACCGTCTGTGGTAGAAACTTCAGGGCGATGGCGCGTTTCATACGAAATGTGGCGCAATGTTTGTTTGCTTCTGAACTTGTACTGTTATTGCCATTGCTGTGAATTCTTGAAGTGGGAGTGTTTCAATAACAATTTGTGGATTATTTGAGTTTCTTTATATAAACATAGAATAGTATTATGAAACATTGTGTGGAAACTGCAAATACTGATATGATCAACTACTTAGCTTGGGAATTGATACACATTTTGTTGAATGTTGAGATTTGTCTGACAAATGGTACGTAACAAACTTCAAGCATATCATGATCTGAAGCTGTTGCAACAAATCAAAATTGCTTTGTTGGAAAGACTGGAGCATGGTTCAAGATGATGTGTAAAAATTCAAGATTTGTGGGAAAGCTTGTGACTGTAGATCGGAAACAGTTCTATATGATGGCTCAATGAAACATGGAAATGGACGACAAAAGTAGAGTTTCAACATTCAGCATGTGAGAATAACTTCAGAAATTCACAATTCTTGTAGTATTGCATTCTTCTTATGTACAGTTATAGGTTTCGTTAGGGTATTTGAAATTCATTGTGTCAGTTGAGATATAGATGGATTGCGGACAAATTTTAGAATCATTGCATGGAAGCTAGGTATAAGGTACTTGTTCGGTAGAAAGGTATTGATGATTGCCATGAGAAGGTTTTTTATGATTTAATATATGGTCGTTGTTGTGCCTACAAAAATGCAAGCTTACTAGCAACTAGTTTCTGAATCAAATCGAAAGTATTTGCCATGAATGTAAATATGTACCTGCAAAGTATGTCAATAAATTTGTGTGATGTTGACCAGAGAGCTTTATCATCTGGGCATTTATGTCGCTTCTTGCATTAGGTATTAAGCATAGTAATTACGGATGAACTTTGTGCCAATATCTTCAATGCACAATGTATGTAGCATGTCTACAACCCTCACTGATCCTAGCTATAGGCATTTGGCACCAGCAAGACCAAGGGCATGAACTTCACAGTTGCTCAACCTTTTGTCATGTACCACCAGTCACTTTTTTACTTAGGTGCACATAGCAGTGCACACAACAATGTGCGGAGGGCCTACACAAAAACAACATGATTAGTGTGCACTATGCACAGGATTGTACCCTGATTATTTGAATATTTTGATAACTCAACAGTCAACAGTCAGGAGTAATTATTGAATATCACATTTATTATACATCACTTGTCAAACAAGAGCATGATGACACACATTTTGACAAGCAATCATGGTAGTATTTCAATAAGTTGGACAGTCATCTCCCTGGGCGTCATTTTTCCAGGAAGGTACACTCGGGGGCAGATTGATGTTCCACCACTCCCTACCCATCGGGCTCCCATGGCTCAGCACTGGCTGCTGCCAGTGGCAGCATGTGGCAGCACTGGCACTGGCAGGCAGTGCTGAGCAGTGCTGAGGGCAGGCAACACTGGCAGCAGCCAGTGCTGAG